CTTCATCGTCTGGAGGATGATCCTCAATAGTTTCGCAGCTCTCAATAAGCTTATTGAGTCCTTCGACCATTGTGTCCTCCTCTTGGGGCTGTTCTTCTAGCTCATCTTCCCGCTTGTCTTTCTCCCTTAACCTGCCACATGCATAGTCCACATCATTTTTGAAATATTGTTCCCCTCGCAGCCAACAAATGAATCTTAACTTCAGCTCATTTCCGTAGATCTCAGGGACCTGTTCTCCCCCTATTGCCCTCTGAAAGCTTGTCATCGCGTCGTCAAACCACGTTAAGGCCAATCCAACGGGGTGATCCCACCGTTTCATTGTATCGAGCAAGTCATGCGCAAGGGGGGCCAGTACACTAAAGGCAGCGGCCTTGCCTGTACGGACTCCAACTACCCGGAATCCGCGCGCCGCCTTAAGTCTACCCCAAGCAGCAGATGCAGACTTGGAGTTGAACTTGATTGGAGGTGTCTTAGGCTTAGAACCTTTGAGAAGTTGTCCACAGCCATCCCTCTTGAGGCAGGTCGTTCGTAGATTTGACTTTCCCGGTGCATTTGGGTCCGGGTTATACGGAATCTCGCCAGTAGGCTTGATGTGCGTCCTCCGGCCATCCCCTGGGCCCTCCGCAAGGTTCGGAAGCCCGTTGGGTTTTCTATTAGAAGTTGAGGTCTTGCCCGAATCCATGGATTTTTTAGGAAGTGAATAGTCGAAACCAGACGACGTATACCTCCTATAACCATCTTTCACTAGATCAGAGGTAACACCTCGACGAATGAGGCTTCCTGTAGTCCCAAAAGTAGCGAGTCCGATAAGAACTATAAGGTATAATATAACAGCCTTCATTGTTTAACGAAATGTTGGCAAACTGTTACTATATATAGTAAGTTAGACTTGTAGATTTAGCTAAAATAGAGCTAAGATAGGAAGGCTCTATTAATCCTTGAAAAGATTAATTCCTTACTAGTAAACTGTTTTGATAGTTTATATTAATCCGAGATAGGCAAGCGGAGACAAAGAGGCTTTAGGCAAGTAGTAAGATAGTGATATATAATAGCCGAGGAAGAAATAAAAAGCAGACATAACGGGGGAATTAAATAGGAACTTCTAAGTGAGCATTATATTAATGTTGAACTTGACCGGGGTAGGTTTTCGGAATTAAAGCCTCATCTTAGATTTCAGGGTTGAGCCATCAATCTCTTGATCCTCTATGCATAAGATCGTCAGTCACGCAAGGCTAGTGCTATGCTCTCCTGGGGGTCATTACTCCAGACTCGGCATGTTATTTCCGGTGCGCGGTGCGGCTAATTGCCGCCCAACCGCGCTCAGAATGTGGACTAAAATCGCTATTAGCCCCGGGTGACCGATTCAGAAGACCTAAGTTGATCAGCCCGCCCGTCTCACAATACAGCATCAGCCACAGAACGCGGCTGCGCGGCAATTTACCAGTATTAGTAACAGGACCCTTTTCCTGAGCGTCTACCGGTACTCTATTTACTCGGCGAAATGCGTCGCGTCGTACGTAATGGCGGGGCGGCCCCATCTAAATGCTCTACGATCACGGGGAGCCCCCCTGTTCCGCTGATTCTGAGCAAGAGGTTTCGAGGAAAGGGGTTCCTCGTCCGATACGACACGACGAACTACGCGGTTGTCGATCGCCAAGACTTAGGCGACTTGTTGAGTGCGGTAATTAATAATGACGAAGATGATAGTGACCCGTTGTGGCACCAGGGGTAACTGTGCCCTCTTTTTAGGCTCCTGATCCTGAGTATACCATGGTCAAGCTGACCATAAATTTTGACTGCCGTATTATCTCAGTAAACTGAGCCGGCTGTAGCCTCATAGATTGCATGCCCGCTAAGTCTGTATCAAGGAGAGATCTACTTGCTGCTCCCTGATCTCTGAATTTTTCTGCTACGGCTGGCTTTGCTAACATAGGCAAACCTCTCCTCCGACCACGCCATCTATCAGGTCCCACCACCCCATAACCTTACAGCCGGCCCTTTTACTGAGATAATGCGGTACTGCGAAAGATGGGGCCCCCTGATCCTTGTCGCCTTACAACCTGACGATCCTTGACTAAGTTCATCGCATGAGCACATTCTGATAGCTGCGCAGGATAGACAACAAACACACCTGAAGGAAGGGCTTACTCGCCATGTACTACTCGCTTATGCAAATCAATACTTCAACTAATTCTGTTAGCCTATCCCACAGCTCCTCCGACCTAGGTGCAGCTGAATGACCCAGGTGCAGCTGAAAAAGATGGTGCACAGGAGGGCGCATTTACCGAACGTCTGGCACTCTGGCCGAGCAAAGCTGACATGTCCAGTAACTTACAGTACAGTAGGGGCGTTGAACGTGCAACTTCGGCGTGTTCGTCGCATACTTTTCGTCCGTGCACCGCTTTACAAGTAACAAGACCCTGACAAGGATCGTGCCGGTGCAGATCAGCCAATCGAGTTTCGTCTTAGATCCTATAGTCGCTCATCGCTGTCAGTCATTAATATCCATATAAGTCAGAGGAGCAAACAATCCGGGGTTGAGTAAAGAGCCTCGAGGAACGAATAATTAAGGTTGGAGGCGAGAATTTGATGATATGAGTGGTTCGGGAGATCAAGGGATAGTTCAATTAGAGCTCTACAGCTCAAGAAAGGGCCGGAAGTTATTAGTCGCGCAGCTCGTGTTGCTTGTCGTCCAACTCCATAGTGTTAATGCATTAGGTGTTTGGAAGTGAAAGTCGGGCCTAATGTTGAGTTACACGAATACAAGTCAAAAGGTGGCAACATTATTAGTATACCAGCTGCGCGTGTGTGGAGGAGGGGTATCGTGATTATTTATCTTTGCGCCCGGCCAAAGGGGTGGTAAAGGCATTGGGTAGTGGTTGACCTGCCACGGGGGGGTTTAAGCGAACTCCCAGTCGATAAGGCCCAGGAAATTAAAGTCGTTATTAACTATAATATTTTGCGTGCCGAGATCTATATGATTTAGGAGATAGTTTGCCTAAGATGCTTTAAAAAGGCCAATAGTCTATACAATTTCGAGGAAAACTAAGGCACCAAGCCTACTAGAGTGAGACGAGTTTGGATTGAGCTTATCACGAAGCTGCGCCTTGCGGAATAAAGACTTTTCAATAGCAGTAAAATACTCGGTGGCCGTAGAGAACGGCCCTTGCGGAATAAGCCCTTCAGCCGCCGCTATGGACAACTTGCCAATGATAAGCTCTCCTGGTTCCGTAATGGAAGTAATAGAACCGATCTGAGGATGTACCAAAGTCGCCGATTGCACTTAGGCCATCGTCCACTGAGCCATATCATGCTCCTGGCTTGCAACCTAGATGTAGTAAGAAATTGCATAATGGATGGGTTTAGATGTATTGCAAAGCGAAATATATAACAGCGAGACATATGACAGAAAGCGATGGAAGGTGAAATAGAACGGCGGTTCACCTACTACTGGCAAACTGCAAAGATTAGGTGCAACATCCTATAGAGTATTTCCATAAAACCCTTCTAAGAGCATGTGACTCGTTCCGTTGCTCAGTGCTTGACTTGGAGAACTTATGGCCGAAACTTTAAAGAATAGATCGTCCACAAGGTGAAGGTGCTGGATGTCTGTATGCTCTATGAGAATCTCGTGCAAGTACTTGAGCGATCACGAGAGTCGGTGTAGAAGTTACAATGGATGAGGAGATTCGTGGGAAGTGTAGTTACTAGGTCTAGCTGGAACAAGTGGACGAAATTGGACGGGGCAAGTTACACAGACTGGCGGGCTTCAGGTTCAGTGTTGCTTGGACTCCGCACAATAAAGCAAGTTAGAGTCAGCCTGATAGGGTCGAGCGGAGATAAGCTAGCCGAAAGTAAGGTAGCTCCTATAGAAATTCGTATCCAGTGTAAGGGGCAGCCGTAGTGAGAGGATGTTTAATCTGTTACAGTCGGTGATGTAAATTGGAGGCGGTCGGGCTATGGAAGCAACACTATGAATTAATCTTCACTGAGCCGGGCCCTTAATAAGATATTGGCCCTGGTCTGGCTCAGCTCAAAAGCTAATTTAAAGGGGAACACACGGTCGCATCGCCATGCGGGTCTTAATGGCGTGGAGGCGTCTCTTCCGCCAATATATCTTGCTGAGAGCGTAGAATATATACTTTTAGTGAAACGGCTTCTAGCTCGTCATTTCTCGTTTGGCAGCCCACACTTGTGGTCTCGGCTGGCTGTCAGACACGCAAGCTTTAATATACGACCCCTTAATCCAATAGACCCATTATACTCCTTGACTGTCTGGCCACTCACTCTGGACGGAGATGGACCTCGGCTTAGGAGTGGTGGCGGCCCACAAGTCACATCGTGTTTATCACCTTCTGGATAAGATATGGAGAAAGTAAACCAGTGTTGCTTTTGAGGAACCAAGTGACGAGACATTTTCGTCGCAGAGGCTCTCCCTTCAAGGGAAGCTCGACATCAATTCACGGCTATAGCGCCAAGCCCCCAAACTTGTCGTATGATGAAATCGCAGTTGTGAGGCATACATCGTGCTGCCACGAAACACATATATTATTACTGAGAACATTTCTTCGTGAATTACTCCTTCGCGCTCATACGCTATAATGAGCGTCTCCAGGCACCTCCCAATCAGCGACTCTTTCACTGCTACCTGCCGAAATCTTGATGCTCATCTCCGTTAGCTCCAAAAGTCGTCATAATCATAACCTTCATGTGCGTCCATCTCCTCGCAGGTACCGGCGTTCTGATCGCCATGAGTGCCGGCTGCCTGCCCAGATCCTGAACTCATAGGTGCTGCCGTGTGCCCTGTCATAATGGGCGAGGAGATATTGGTGCCTCGTACAACTCTGTTGGCCTCCTTCCCGCGACGTCGAAGAACTGACAAAAAAGATATCCCTTTCTTGGTTTCTCCTTGCGCAGTGCTTCTGGCCGGATAAACTATTCCTGCCTTGCTATTTCTGCGCACGGGCGCCCTAGGAAAATCGTTGTAAATTCCAGTCTTGCTATTTCTGCGTACAGGCGCCGCGGCGAAATCGTTGTAAATTGCAGCCTTGCTGTTTCTGCGTACCAATGCTCCGGGGAAATCGTGATAAGCTATGCCAGCTTTGCTGTTTCTGCGCACTGACGTGCCGGGGAAGTCATGGTAAGCCATGCCAGCTCTGCTGTTTCTGCGCACTGACTTGCCGGGTAAGTCTTTGAACATTTGGCTTTGTCTGCGCATTCTCAAGACGGGCTGGCCGTCCACATGGTCTGCTGTTGTCGATGGGCTGATATGCCTTTCCGGGTACCGGTGTCCGTCCTTTGGCTGTTCGTATGCCATTGAGATGTATGTCGAGGGAGCGATGGTGGTGAAGAGTAGCGATAGAGTTGCAAAGCAGCGCTTAGGAGCTTGTTCTGGTGCCGGGTCTATGACTGTGATGCTTATCGCGGAGTCTTGGTCTTTTGGAACACACAAGCTGTAGAGGACCTCTTTTCTTCGGGTGCCGACAGGCGTAGGCCGTTGGAGATTGACGAGACCACACAACCCTGAAAGGTTCCTAATTGTGCCTGGAGTAATAAGGAAGCGCAAACGGCGGCTGGTCTCCCTCCAACATATCTGGAAGACGTGCATTGGACGCATTATATATATCATAGGGCCGAAAGACAGGCTGGACCTAGAAACAAGCGAGGGGCGGCGTAAAGGTCAGGCAACAAGGAAATATCTTACTTTATTGCCTTACATCAGACGTTTTAGACCAGCCGTCGTGACGGGCTAACCGCAAATGTGAAACGTGAGTGCTGGCCGAGAAACGCACTAGATCGAGGCGGCCTTAGCGGTCTGGGGGCAGGGGGGAACCCCATAGATGGGACTTCGTCACTCTTGTACCAAGTACGAATGTCGGAACGATCTGCCTTGCTTCGCACACGCCGTCCTCGCTTGACTCGTCGTGCCTCTGCCTTCGATCTCGCTCTCTTACCCCGCCGTGGTAGGTGCCTTCTTCAACAAGGGAAAGGCCTGCTTCATACCTTGGCTACAGGGTTCGCTGTGGTGAAGACGGTATCCCTGTCTGGCCTCGATGTTGGCAGCGAAAGCCTGTAAAGAACGTTAATAAAGCCCGCAAGAGCCATGTTCCCGGTGGCGTTACCTTTAAAATTGCCCTCGAAACTTGTTTGTATGTCGGCGGGCGCCATGATGGCTAGGGCTGGACGAAACTATTCTGTATCTTGTATAAGCACCGTCCGGGGCCCCAACCGGTTAAGACGTCACAATCTAGTGAGTTTCTTACGAAACGCTAGCTTTAGATGGAAAGGATGCCGAAACTACTACCTCTTAGCTGCCCAATTCAACAAACATGGCGATGGCAAGCCCGGCTTCCGAGGATGCTAATACCCATCGGGCCAAGTATACTACTGCTTGGGTACGTCTGATACTCTACTGGTAAGACCAGGAGCGACCTGGCAGTCGTCTGAAGTGGTGGTTCCTACGAGGATAGAATTAGTATACGATAGCGCCACTGAAAGCCGGGACCATCAACCGCTATATTTGTCCAACTGCACAATTCGCCTTGTTTCAGAACTGGGTTAATAGAGCTTGTTTTATAAAGTTACTGTCAGGACAAGGGCCTATAATACGCGTTAGTAACACCTCTATCGGGGGTGCCCTCATTTTGCATGGTGTAGCGGTATTTTACCAGCTTGACAGTTACGTTGTTTAACTGGATAGCACTTGATACGCCTTAATGCCAGGTAAACGGCGCACGGCTCTGCCGAAAGTGGGGATCTGAGAACCCTGAATTCATTCCACCCTTGCGTGCGTAGCCCCTTCCTCTTTGGCCCTCTTTCGCACACGTTTATCACCCTTGAGTACCCCATATGCCTGGCTCGGCCATGGCTTGCACCCTGACTCTCCTGGACCCGAACAGAGTTGATGGATTCCCTCGCTGAAACGTAGGGAACGGAGCGTGCGGCTCGGATGAGTGCGGTTAAGGCTAGCCTGGATAGTCTCACGGGGCCGAGACCCCTGCAGACCCGCATGGTGCCAGGGTGGATATGTGTTTGAGCTGAGGGGAGCTCATGTGCCAGATTTCGGCATCAACTTGTAAAGTCCTGCCGGCTACCTACCAAGCCTGGCCGGTCGGTCCCCCCGCATTCATCTATAAAGGGGTCTCGTCCTTCCGTTTCGGGGAAGATTGCTAGAGTTGCTATGTTTTTCTCGTCCTTACTCCGTAATTTTGGACCTTCTAACTCGTTCCAACCCCCACTCCTCCCAATCTAGTGCCGTCAACTTTTACCCGTCTTAAGATGCGCTTCTGCTATAAAAGTAGCATCTTTGTTTAGGTCAGAAAACATCAAAAATCACATTCCTTTCTATGTCTAATCGCATACTCCTTTCGTGAGACTTACAGGCTTTGCCGGGCTCATATTGAAGTATCCAGTCTCTCTTTAGATGCACGTAGTTACATGTCCCCGTGGCTTCTTCCAGATCAGCCAAGCTATCAAGCCGAGGAGAAGACTAAATTACTTTGCATACTTGCTCCAAGTGCGCAGCCTTTTCCCAGACTGGCTATCGTCTTAGCCTCTTTTCGAAATAGCACAGCGGCCTGTGACCATGGCAGACTCACCCTCTCAAGAATAAAGGGAAGCGGCACTAGGGCAATAGAGATAACGCCCAGCACAGTCGTCGCCTATCCAATTCCAAGCGAGCCAATCATCCGTGGCGCAGCCAGCGGCAGTGAGCCCCCGAAAAAGCTGCGAAAGAATGCATTGCCGGCGAAGACGCTCCCAACGTGACTTAGATACGCCTCTGCAAGGTAGTTAAGAATGGATTGAAAGGTGAGATAGAAACCGGGAGCAAAAAAGGCCGTTCCGATGATGGGCGCGATCCAGTGCACGCTGCACCAAGTCAGAGAGGCACAAGGGCCAGGTCGTACAGAATATGAGAGGACAGGACTTGAAATCACCTTGTCCGGGTTGACCACGCAAATATAAAGTGACAGATGGGGATGCATATGGCGCCCACCTGCCCCGGTCTTAGGCGGTCCTCGGGAGTGACCGAGGTTTCTAGGTTGACAAGCCTTGGATTGTGAGAGAGATATAGCCACATGATGTAGGCAACGACCGAGATGACAGCCCCAGTTAGGATACCAAAGAAGGCAACTTGCGAAAAGCGAGATCTAAGTCAGCCAAGAACATGGACCAAAGATCGCCGCCCTCCCTTTCTTGTCCGAGAGTTCGATGATTCCGGAGGAACATGACTCACTCGCCCGTTGAAGTGCGGTAAAGTGATGAATCTCGCCAAAACTGTGAGAGCGCAGGTGCAATCAGCAAGAGCGTGCAACGATCATGTCATGTCAACTTTGTAGGCTAACGTACCAAAAGGAAAGAACTCGAACCACAGATACAGAAGACCATAAATTAGCATAATGTGGATGTTGACGGAAAGAATTACGGGGTCGGTGCATGACAACTTCAGGTCGTTAGTTGTTTGCTGCACAATTTCTGCGAGGAGACTGTGCCTCGTCGCGGACAACTCGGTCAGTCATTGCCCTTGATTTTGGCTTAGACGAAGCCTGTGAGCTCGTCGATGTAAAGTATTCTAGTATAGGGTTTCGGGCAAGAAGAAGAATATAAAGATAGTCGTGAAGGCGCTGATGCCCGAGATCAGCCACAAGGTGGCTGCCTAGGTATTCCATCGTGAGCTTGCATCATGTTAATCCGTTAGCGTCTTGGACGCCTCGGCAAAATCCAGCACAGGAGACGGCCAGCGTGGGTGCCCACATTACCAAGGTACCCAATAACTATCGTGCTCGAGAACGGTCAGTGGCCTGGCAATGTGTGTTGGGGAAGGAACATGGGCCTGACGGTGTCGTTTGTCTTCATACCGGTCCAAGAATCGGCCCACAGATTCCGCTCACGGCGTACAGGGCGATGGCGTACGGGGCCTGAGCAGGTCCGTATATTTCCATCAGAGTCGTACCACAATGCTTATGGGCGCACTCCCAATGAGGCCACCGAGAAAACGCAAGGCCAACATTGCGGGCAAGCTATTAGCTAGTCCTGTTCCGACATTGATCAGGCAAAAGGCGGGGGATCCTAGGAAGTAGACGAGTGTTCGCCCGATGGAAGGGACGTTGGATAGCGGAGAGAGCTGATGTACGTGGAGGATTCCCGTTGAACTCGACTGTCATTTGCACGAACAGGGTGATTGACTTACCACGAGAGGACCGATGCCATAAGCAATAAAGAATAGAGAGAGACACAGTGTTCCTTGGCTGGTCGTGGCAGCGAATTTGGCCTGGATGAGCGGGATACTGGGGGTGAAGAGGGCTGATGATGCGTAAAAGCTAAAATTGAGAAGCATCACGTCGGTCGTGACGAACGCTTTGGTCAGAGCCGGCCAGTTGATGGGCATCTCGGCATCGTCATGGCCGACAGGTCCTGTTGCCGTTTGCGGCACGCGGTTGGGGCTTAACGACTCATTCTCTTTGTGAAGTGCCGAGTTGGGGTATGGAGGGCTCGGCCGTTGGACGTGCGGTTCAGCAGGCGACCAAAGAGACTCTCTCGCAGCAAGATTTCCATTTTCTCCGTAAGCGAATTCGATATAGACTCGAGGCGGCCAACGCTTTTCAAGAGCACTAAAGCGACGGATGGAGCAATAGAGAAATGATTAAGGAATCTCGTTTGTGTCTTTCTTTCGCTATTTATGAGCCGCTACAATCGGCAAAAAAGGCTGGAGGCCGGAACTCCGAAGCAGCGGAGGGGACTGGAGACTTCGATGTTCCACGTATCTTTGAAGAAGAGTATTCCTTGGCATCAAGGACATGGCGTCTGTCGGCCACATTACCGCTGGCTTTGAGCTGCCATACTGACCACGAAGTCTGCGGCGCAAGTCGTCCCTACTGCCTAGAGGCCTGAGGGGGGCTGAAACATGCATGCCTCCACTGCATGTACACATGAATGATGTGGAGAGGCCGAGGCAACAAGGTTTCCGGAACTCCGGAGCCCCGCAACGGTTGAGTAGTCGGAGTTCCGCCTTTCCGCCGACTCTGTCTGTTCAACTGGCACTGGCACTCCACTGTATTCAGTTGACGTTGATACAGAACCTTTATTTCGCTATTGCGTTTTTCTGATATTTGTCTTGTATCGAAAAGTTCCCTTGCTGATCGGCCATGCCCGCCCGTCCGAGCCGGCCCGAGAGCATCAATGAGATCGAGGCCTCCGCCATCGCGCAAAAAGGCGTGTCAGCCGTGCGCAAGATCCAAGGCCCGCTGCGGTCTCGAGAAGCCATCTTGCGCCCGCTGTCTCGCTGCCGGGCGGCAGTGTCGATACGCAGCCGATGTCAACTACGCCTCCCCTTCGTCCGCCAGCGGCTCTTATCAAGAGGCCCAGCCCGCTCCAGGAGTTGAGACGCCAGCATCGCTGTCGACAGCCCCCGACATCTTCTTTCCACAGCCTCATCCTCCTGCCTCTTCTCGGTCGGCGACCCCAGCAGCCGCAGCAGCAGTCGTAGGACATGGGCTGCATGTACACACTTCGACGCAGGGGTCAGCAGGCGAGGACCTGGCCGGAAATCCCTTGGACTTTGCCGACCTGGACCTCGCCCCCCTCAGCGACGCGGACCAGATCCGGGACCGGTGGCTGCGGCCGTTCCTGGTGGTGGACCAGCCCCCCAAGACCTTTCATCCGCACACGCTGCAGTACATGAGCTGCGTGTTGCGCTCGTATGCCAGGCAGATGATGGCGTCTGACGATAGGGGCGTTCCGCCCATCATCCACCCGACGCAGCTGCGGGACCGGAGCATCCCAGTTGCCTTGGCAAACTGCTATAGCCTGGTCCGGCTGTGGCAGCATCGGGCTGATGGAAGTGAGGTCATGGTCGCCGAGACTGTAAGGCGCGAGATGGACCAGCTCGCTCATCATGTACGTACGGCCTTCTCAAGTCAACCGCAGAAGACGACGGAAAGGTCAACACGGCATAGACATTGACAAGAGTTCAGGAACATGGCGCCGGCCGGCACCTCGATATCCTCGCCTCATTCCAGGCTTACCTCATCTACTGCATCATGGCTTACTTCTTTCCTCTGCGGCAGCCGTCGATTGAGGTTGTCGACGACGACACAATGGCTGTTCTGCAGGAGATGGCCTTCCGCACCGCCCAAAGCGGACTCATCTGCCGGGCGGGTCTGTCGCGGCGCTGCCCCAACTGGGAGTCGTGGATCGTGGCGGCTGCCAAGGGCCGGGCCTTGCTCGCCTTCTACCTCTTCAGCAACGTGTACAACGCCGAGCGGCTGCTGCCCAACTTTGTCGCGGCCGAACTGCGAGACGTGGCCGCGCCCGGAGCCAAGCGGCTGTGGGCAGCCGCGTCCCGCGCCGAGTGGGAGCGCGAATATGCCGAGCACCTGGCCGTGTGGCATGACGGGCCTTTCCGCATCTCGGAGCTGTGGAAGTCGCCCGAGACGGGGTCGGCCGCTCGCCGGGAGAGAATAGACCGCTGGGTGCAGACCGTGGACGAGTTCGGCATGATGCTGTTTACCATCTGTGCCCACGTCCACGGCTGCTAGAGACTGCAGGACAGGACTGGAGAAAGCCGGACACTTCCTGGCCAAGTATATTACATGCCCCAGGATGGAACACCTTTGTAACTGCTTCAATTTCCCTATGATCCTTTTCAACATCATGTTGACAATTCCCCGACCAGGTCCCGTAGCTCTGAAGAAAGCTAACGCGGAAGGAAGTCCTTAGAAGGTACATTTGCTCTAACGTTTGCTCTTGGTTCTCGACACAAGGTAAAGACGCTTGCGAGGTGGATGCGTATCAGCAGTTGGTTCGGGGTCAATGCACGGCAGCGCTACACGCATTAGCCCAGATAGTGGCCTTGAGGGTGGTAGAACGGCAGCAGCCTGGTAAAAGTCTTGGACATGATATGGATGCAACAGAGTGGGACATCTATCCGAATGGGGGTCGAATCGACAGGCCCTTGGCGGCTCATGACTTCGTGCTGCAACCTTGACTGGGCGATGCTGCGCAAGCCACACATTTACATACACACACAGAGAGACAGAGACAGAGAGCAGAGATGAATCATGCCGTCTTGCGAGGACGCGTGCTAACACAAGACTTGAAGCCGTGCGAGGCTACCGCGCCCCAGGCAACCCAGCCGCCCCAGACTCCCTGATCCTAGAGCACGTCTCTTCCCACCCAGGCGACGTCCGCCCACACCGGGCCGCAGCAGACGGCGCCATGGTTTATTAAGTTGTTATCCATTGATGCCAAGCGTGCGAAGTGGCGGTGCTCCCCCCTATCACCGGGAAATGCCTTGGTTCTTGTCTTGATAATTCTCCTAATTTCACCGGTGCGATCCAGATTGCTTTGCACGACTGTGTGGTGTCGCTGTCTGATACAATGCGAGTACCGATAGAGTGGGGGCGGACTAGCAGACTCGAGTAGGAAGTAATTAATTTGCAGACGAGGAGTGAAACCGTAGAGGAATGGCGGAACTCCGGTCGCGAACAGTGGAGTGGTTGGCTTCCAACGCCGGAGTTCCGGAATCCCTCTTCCCTTCAAGGGACTTCGGCTCCTTCGTAGCCACGACATCTGACGGTCCTCGAGTCAAGTGTCCTGAGCAGGATCGAATATTTATACTATATATAACCCTGCAGCTTCCTTTATCCCATTTTCGCAACCTTCAGGCAACCAAAAAGACCATTTCACCCAGCATTTAAATCGGACACCACCTCCATGGCTCCCCGCATTATTCCAGAGACAGGCAACGTGCCACATGTGTGTCATGATGCCCAACAAGCTTACCAGACTCTCAAGTCTGGTGGAGTCATTATCGCCCCTACCGATGTGGGCTATGCACTTATGGCCAGTACTCAAGCAGGAATTCAAAGAGTCTTCGCCGCCAAAGGTCGCCGACAGGATCACAATATCGGTATCATTGGAACGTATCAGCAACATCGAGAAATCCATTTGTTGCCCGAGTCCAAGTTCGAATTGACACGTGTCTTGACGGAGGATATGGGCATGATAATCGGAATCATCGCCAAGTTCGATTCGGAGAACCTCCATCCGCGTTTGGCTGCGCTAGATAAGCTCACACTCTGTCAGGTCACGAAGAGAGATACGATCAGCATCGCTGTTCCGGAGGGACCATTCTTGCGGGAACTCGGTCGGCTTTGCGACATCGACCCGCTTGGCATGTTAATATTCGGAACTTCCGCAAACCTTACCGGACAGGGACAGCGATTCCGCGTGGAAGAAGTGGAGCCCAGCGTGCTTGCGTCTGTCGATTTGGTTGTGGATTATGGTCTGCAAAAATGGCACATGTATGGTCGCGGCGGCGTCCTGTTCGATGCCGAAAATATGCAGGTTCTGCGTATGGGAGCCGGATGCGAGGTCTGCAGAGACAGGATCTTAAGATGGTTCCCCCATCTGTTGGAAGAGGCAGGCGGCGGCCTTGCCGAAGATACGAAGCACAAGTAAAGGTTGCCATCGGCACAAGCAGGGATGGACATCCTACGAATCTATCGTAACGAACGTCAAGCCCTAGCGTTCGGGTGGAACACAACGCATCTCCCGCATATACCTCCTATCTTTGTTACTATAAGGCAGCTACCTGACTATATAAGAGCTGGGAGTATTAGCAACCTAGAGTCACCGGCCATGTGAGTACCCCTCGCTAGGAACCTACCTAAGGCCAGGAGCAGAAACGGTTTTCTTACAGGCATATTTAGGACTAAATATCTCCTCTTTACTAGGCTCTAGTCCTACTCGGAGAGATATAGTAAATACCAGCTGCTTTATACTTATGCCTTTATAGCTACCTTTCCGAGAGTACTCTATATACCCACCACTTATAACTACCTAACCGACTATACCGTGGTATGGAATCTCTAGTATTGCCGAGGGCCTAGCTAACAGGCGTTAAGCCCTGACTAGTAGACTCAGGCTAAAACCAAACCGTTATTTTTAATAATAAATCTAATTCATTATGTAAGTCTGTCTATATTTCGCTCCTCTGAGACACCTTGGAGATCATGAATTTCTTAATAAGCATCTTGCTACAAGGTCTAGTATGCCAAAGTTCGCAATTCTCGGAATACTTCTATGTTTTTTAGGTGATAGTGCCTGCTTCCAAACGCTGTGCGCCGTTACAGAGCATGCATCCTCGGGAGCAGTGCGCCGTAGCCGCTATATTAACGCCGAAGGTTTCTATGCCAACTACGACCGCGGTCGATGAATTGACAATTCGTAGTGATGGAAGGGCGACGATGGGGCTCCCTACGTACTTAAGGAATCGATTCGAAGAAAACGTCTCGCTTGCTCGACAGCCGCAAAGAAGCTGAATGACGGCTTTGGTGCCATGACTGATCTTCTGTTGGGCATGACCCGGCGTAACGTGGCGCGCTCGATTCATTATATTTGAGCACACTTGTCAATTTTCCCGGTCATGGGCGAGAAGTCATTCCTTTAAGTCAAGGTTCAGCTGAGGGGCTTAAGGCAGAGCACACTATAAACGAAGAGCAAAAGAGCCACAATCTTCTATTCCCTATAACAAACTGACTTCGCGTGAGCGAATAACCTTAATCTAAGCGAGGAACCTTCTGGAGGCTGAATACCAGACCCTGCATCATCGTGTCCAAGTCTTGTTAGCCGCCCGAGCCAGGGACCGTGACATCTCTCTAAGTCCGGACTCTCTGCGGGTTTCATGGGCCCCTGCGACTCTGATATGTGCTGCTGAAGCCGGTGCTACGTTGAGGGTTGCGTGAATTGGTAGAATTTTGAGGAGAGAGTCTGGGAAGCCTTGCGGGCCGCTTGGGTTCGAGGGGCCTGTCACGCCGTCTGGGCTCATGGGGCCTTGTGGACCCATAGGACCTTGCCCCCCGCCCCCAGTAGTAGGAGTTTCTGGCCCAGATCCCGGGAAGTTCGGCGGGCCCGAAGGATTTTGCGGCTGGCCTGAGGTCGGGCGGTCTTGATCTTTCGGTCTTTCCGTGCCTGTTGGGATTGAACCTTCTGGCCCGCCTGTGCGTGTAGGACCTGAGCCTCTCGGATCCTCGGAGTCTCCCCCCCCCCTCCTGTCTTGCCGTTCCCTCTGGGTGCTCCACCACTAGAATCTCCGGCGGCTTGGCGCCTCATCGCCACTTGCCGCAGTCTGGGGATTTGGTCCTGGATAAACTGATAGTCGAGTCCTTGGCCACCGCTAACATCGACACGTTAGAATTGGCGACCTGCGTGATGCGTCAAAGGGGAGCACATACATTTGTGTGGGCTCCATGATATTTCGCGTCTGGCCTGACTGCCCACTTGAACCCCCTTGTTGCGCGTGTTGTTCACCGAGCCAGTGACCGGCCTCGTGAGCTGTTGTCATGTCGTCTCCCTGCCTGCCGGTTTGCGACTGGCCAGGTAGGGTATCCATTGCCACTGAACAGCCGTCCGTCTCGTCCAGAGATTGGGCAATGTTGCCCGATGGAGGGGGAATGTTGCACAATCCCTTTACTCCAGCTCCCTCATTGGTTGGCAAAAAGACAACGTTGAGTGTGTTTGCGCCACCCTGGTGGAGCTGAGACTTCAGTTTGTTCGTAGCCTGCACGTCTCCCACGTCCATCTGTTCAAAACTGTCATCGGTTTGTCGAGTGATATTCTGAAGGTTAAACTTGATCTATGTTGGGGCATAACGATCGTTCATCAGTTGCATCTCCTTGTTCATGTCATCGTCCTGTGCGGCATGTTAGGACTCGGCTATTGTCGGGCGAAGAGGGCATGATTTTAAAGATGGGATCCTACTGTTGGGCATTTATTTTGAGATGAACAGCATAGGTGAAAAACGGCATTCAGACCGATTTCCTCGTCATTGTCCGGCTCACTCGGCTGCTGCTGCCGCATCCAGAAATCTCGCTCCTCGAGGCTGGGGTCCCCTATGCCGCAGGTAGACTGGCCTCGCGTGTCTATGGTGCCAGCCAGCGTGGCCGTAGCCATCAAGCCGGCCATAGCAAAGGGCAGCATCACCATGATGAAAACCGTTCAGAGAGCGAAATTGGAGAAGAGAAGGACAAAGATGGAAAGACGGCAAGTAGATCTCGTCGAGGAGGGCGGGAAGTAGTCGAGACGCTCACAATCCGACCGAAGGCGATGCTTTGTGATGCTGTAGACAATCTTGACCCGACGACTGCGCAGACTTCATATCAGGAGGCCGACGGCTATGCAACACATGACAGCGGCGAATTTGTTAAGGGATGCTCGCGCGGGCAGTGCCCCATCGGGGTGTGGCCCTCGTCGAACGCGGTGGATCCATGATTCCAAAAGCTGGTCTGCGAGGGGTCTGGTGAAGCTCGAGCTTCATGCAATTTCCCTTTAGGACAAGCAACTTGAGCTGGCTGGCCATGAACGTGTCTGCCGCGAGGAGATTCTAGAGGTCGTCGAAAGAAGTGGACCCGTTCACAGTGCAGCCGTTTGACAATTGCGGGCGGCAATGGGTGTTGACAGGTGCGAACCGCGGAGAGAATACCCCACCTGGTTTTGTGCTTGGATGGGGCCAGGAACCGGGTTGAATGGATACCCATGGTATACTAGGTGGGCTGTGGTTCTCGTGCCTTCGCCCAAGACGCTGGTGCCGCGGACGATCGAAGCGAAGGAGGGGGCCGTGTGTGTGTGTATGTCTGTTGATCCTGCAAGGGGACTTGTAGGTCGGTTTGTGCAGCGGCCGGCCAGCGGTGTAGATCAACAGACGGCGTGAGAACGGTACACGCAAGTGTGGCTGACTGGTTGATCTTGCTCGACTGATTTTCAGCCTCCCGGCATATACGTGCTGTAAGTCTCCGCTGAGATAACAGAACGTATATCAAAACCTTGCCAAGTAGACTACTACTAATTACATATCCTGGAAGTTGTCTGTTATCTTAGCTGGCTTAACGTTGGCCCTTGGATGAAGCACATTCCCGGGACTATCAACTAGCTGAATCGGCGTCAAGCCAGGGCGGGGGTGGAGTTCAAGGCTAGCCAGGATACCGGTGCTTGAGGGGGTCCACCCGTTAGAGAACAACGGGTCCGCCCCATGTCAGAGGCCATCATGCGCGTGTCCCTCCGTCGGCTCAACGTCTGGCACCCATGTACGAGTGCCGGTTCGCAACACCACACGGCGCTGTCAACTGTTACGTCGTGCGCGTATAAGTCCGGCCCACCATAGTTTCGACTAGATTGGATGATTCCATCTAGTATATCTACTGAAGTGGGCAAAAGCTCTAAGTAAAGGTAGCCAGCAGAAACTGAAGTAGTAGAGGCACATTGTAATTAAACACCTACGTGAAAGCGTATGTAGTAACCTAGGCAGTCAGAAATAATACACAGCATGGGCAAGCCTATTTCAAATAGGAAGGAAGGTGCTTAGAAAATTATGTTAAAAAAGAAATTTGTTTTTAATTCAAGACCAAACTGATGGAATTAGTAATTGGTCCGTAATAAGCATAAATATTACCACTCGTTAGCTTTATATACTACTAAGCTATGAAACACCAGGCGTCGCAACCTCATATCGAGTAATCTGCCCTTTACGGATGGACCTGACGGCTCGGCGCATAAAGGTCCCAAAACGCATTGCATGTTTGCCTCCCACGAATCAAGGAATCTAACTAGACCGGTAGAAAACTAAATGCATTCCCTGCCTCTAGTTTCGAGTTCCAGTGATATGCCATCGTGAAACTTACTGGTCGGAAGAGATAACCCGAATTCGCTTTATTGCGGGATGAAATCCTGGAGGACACTATAGTCTTATTGGACTGTACAGAGTTACAGCCTTGGTTCTCTTGGCTCCCAGTCAAAGCCGGGTATGATTTTCTATATGATCACCGTTGCGCCAGCCATTACTCGTCTCTAGAAGTAGGCAACACTCAACAGGCAGCATGTCTCTCTACCGCAGTAACAAAGACAAGGAGACGGACTCTCGAGCGACATCGTGTGTCTCAACGTGGTCTCATACGGCGGGAGAACTGCTATAGGTAAAGCAATTAAAGTTGACCAGAGAGTGAAAGTATTAGATAGGCTGCGGATAGCCGATGCCAATGCTTTTAGGAGAGGATCATACTTATCACCCCCAGGCGGTGTTTTGAGCAGCCGTTGCCAATTGCGCATGCCTGGCCAGAGGGAGAATACGTCGGAGATTATGACAGGTGATATAAAGGCCACATATACCATAATCGCGGCATCTATCGAAAAGTCAAGGACAAGAAACAAAGAGGGGCGGAGCAGCAACATTCCCTATCACCTTTCAATAAGCGGATATCACCGTCGAGCGTGGCAAGGTCAAGATCGACACTGGCCTCCCCAGGATCTATCATCGGACTCTCCCCAACTCGACATCTCGGTGGAAGGTCTTTGGCACATGAGAACATGATACGCTACGATCTAGTACTCGAACGAATACCTTCTTATACAGTTCGTTGTTACCAACACATCTGCCGAGCTGTGCGATGTTTACAGGTAATTCGCCTTTGGCTCAGTATTCCAGTATTCTGTAGATATGGAAAAGGCCATCTACTATATTAAGCATAAACATGAAGGTGGGGTGCGCTGATGCTAGGCAGTTGGGTCTGGTCTTCCGTTGCTAGTAGACGCTTCTTAGATGACTCCAGCATTTATATCTATTATCACGGCGATGTCTTCTATTGCGTAATAGATTGCTTTGTAGAGAATCTACTAGGAGCATCTACATGTCGCCTTGAGTCGGCCTGTGCCATGTATGGAGAGAGTACCTCGGCACATTCACGATTATTGCCATTGAGATTCGTCACAGTCATGGCCTTTATCTATTTCCTGCAATCCAGTTCGTTCTGTAAGTAATGCCTGATGCAGTAGAGCTCCACAAGAAGGGAGCATTGTAATTGATGGTCGGTCGAGCTTAAACTCCAGTACCTCCTTCTATCATTGTTCAACAAGCAAATACAGAAGTTCCTGAAGTCCTTGACTTCTGATTCCAATACGAGGGAGATTGTGTCCAAGAGAAAATGTCCACAACACCCTCTCGCTTGGGATGGTCGGAGGTGTCACCGCGCCTGAAAACATCCTGGATGTGCTAGGCGAAATGTTAACTCAAGGGCATAACTTGTGATAACGAGCCTACATACCCAAAGGCTCCATGCCCATTGGGCGCACACCATCGTGCTATTGCTGGATTGAATCCTTTGGGAGAGCAAGGAAGTCTACTTACTACCTCCTTTTGTCTTCCAAAAGCTGCCCGTGCTTTTCTTAAAGATGTGCGATGAAGGTCTTGGTTGAGAAGAGTTTGTTCTGTGGTGTTTCTGACGCGCCTAAGTTATATCCGGCATGGCGGATGCGCCAGCGCTGCGTCGAGGTCATTGACTGTAGTCTTTGGATAACCGGAAGAATCCACGGGAAGCTCAACGCTGAGCTGGTAAGCTTTCGCTTACAGACAGAACAAAAGCGTCCGTCCATAGCAGGAGCAGGGAAAGAAGCCCGCATTTCACCAGTTTCCTTTTTATGGTTGTTGATTGAGGAGAACCGCATACTCTCCGTACAGCCGGCTATATCTTGCCGGGAGAGTCTGACAGACAGACTGAGGAGGTATAGAACAGCGGCGGTTGTATTTGTTGGGCGAGGGCCCCAATATGTCTGCATGGCCCGCTGAATGTGTACGAAACACACGCTGTTTCGTGCTATGGCAACCCATATTCATTTTCTATACTTGCAAAATGGATAACTGACACGCGACGTCTATTCAACCACGTCTATTCAACCACGGACGAAATAGCTGGTCAAGGCAGCTGTACATTTAGGACTTAAATAAGGAATGCCCCAAGGCCCACAGGGCAAGGCAAAGAAGGCTACATAAATAGCGGGTGAATAAACTAAAAGTTCATGACTATGAAGTGCTCTCATAGATACACCTCGAAGCATTTTAACTGCCAAGAAAAGAGTCTCTGTGTCCCAGGAGGCTCACAAAGTCTACATATACCAGATATTCAGGGTGCTGGCGAGCACTGGTTAAGGGGATCTTGGGCTGAGTATATGTCTCCAATGGAAAATTGTTCTATTTATGCTCCTTTGGCTACACCGAATGCACGAGTGTCGAGGGTGCGACTGGCGGGTAAGCACTTCAAAGGAACCAAGATATGATTTGCCACAATTCGTGCAGACGGAGCTACGACACGGATTGTGCACAGTCGGAGCGAATTTCTACAGCACAGTACGGAGTATATGCTCAGCTGATGGTAACACAATGACTGCAGTCGTCATGCTGTACGAAGCACAAACACATGTGGGTGTCATAACGTTGTGTACCCAACACAGCTCAGCAATGGGGGCACCTCAACCAACCGACTCGTGCGTTGTAGCGTGAGAGCGCATATGCACCTGCGGCACTCCATTATCCGATGCATGAAGTGGCTGAGGCATAGATGCAACGGTAAGAGGCACTAAGTCGAAACACGAGCATGTGCATATACTCCACGGCTGAAGAGGATACCAAGAAGCAGGGTATAAGTCCATAGCTTCCAAGATTGTGCCTTTGAAGCTCCGTTGGTGACTGGTAAATGCGACTTTTATGGCAGAGCTCCTATTAGCTCCTTCACCAAACCGAAGTTCTTTGAGTTCGCCCGAGGCCTGGGCCGGGCTCTCGTATTTGCGCTCAAGGACTCGCAGAGGTACAGGTTACACAGTGTTCGTAATCCTGGCGAGAATGCCCGCATTTGTATGTAAACGACGGGGTGTTCTGAGTAGCACTTGGGCCACCCTGCCGTGTCCCTTATACTGACCATGTTGGTTGACAGACACGTCAGTTGGACTATAAGTGGGAGTATCTGATTGTGCTTTGACGTCAGGCCCGCCAGCTTTGTTATTCCAGTCTCGCTAAAAAACGCGCTTCCCGTATTTCGCTTCACAACTTGAGCTCGTGTGCACTTTACCACCTCGCAAAGATGACCACCACCATCACCGTTTTTGGCGCTACGGGCAACCAAGGTGGCTCAGTCGCCCGGTCTCTTCTTCAGAACCCATCCTTCCGGGTCCGCGCCATTACGCGGAACCCGAACTCCGAGGCCAGTCGCTCTCTTGCCTCGTCTGGGGCCGAAATTGCCCAGGCCGATGGATTCAACAAGGACGAGGTGCTGGCTGCATTCCAGGGCTCGTGGGGGGCCTTTGTCAATCTGAACTCGGATGATAAGATTTTCAAAGCCCCTGGCGGCCCGACCGAGTTTGATTTAGGAAAGGCAATTGTCGACGCGGCGGTCCAGGCTGGCGTGAAGCACCTGGTTTTTAGCTCGGGCCCCCCCTGTGCCGAGATGACTGGTGGTAAAGTAAAGATGAACGCCATGGAAAGTTAGCATCTACCGCTGAGACTGGTCGTCTTTCATCCACACTGACGACATGTACACGTAGTGAAATTCAAGATCGAACAGTACGCAAGCCAGCCGGGCAAGTTCGAGACCGTCACTCCTATTAATGCCGGATGGTATCTAGAGAATTTCCTGGCTAAAGAGGCTGCTCCGATATTTGGCGGCTTCCCCTATGTTCCCGATGAGGACGGATACCTCACCTTTCGAGTGCCCCACTGGGGTGGCGACAACCAGGTGCCGTTTCTGAGCGTTCGTGAGGACTACGGAGACATTGTTCACGGCATCTTTCTCGACCCGGCGAGGTACAATGGTCACGTCGTCCATGGCGCGAGCCATTTGCTTCCTTTTGAGCAGTTGGTGGCTGACTTTGAAGACGGCAAGTGCACTCTTAGACGCAGATGGAGGTGCTTTACTAATAAGGAAATCATAGCAACTGGGAAGAAATCTCGGTTTGAGCCCGTCCTACCATCATGGGAGGCGTTCGACATCTGTGGGATCCCTGAGATGGAGGATGTAAAGCTCATGTTTGGCTTCGCGCAGACGACGGGGGGTCGATACTTTGGCCCCGAGCCCAGCGAGATCAAGACGGCGGCGAAGTTGAAGAAAGCCACAGCGATGGCCTTGGGGAGGCCAAAGACACGAGAACTGCTGATTACTCCAAGGGAGTGGTTCGGGGCACGCTTTGGCACGGAGACTTGATGTTTGTAGATTGATCAAATGGAACTTTTACTTCCTACGAAGTTGATGATGATGTCCCAGATGGCGACTGTTTGACAAATAGGTTCATTTGTAATATTCATCTCGAACTGAAGAAGAAAAAAACGAGGGTTCGGGCAGAATTGCCCCAAGTCGGGCTAACACCCTTTGGTTAACGCACTCAACATATTTTCAACGACAAAATCAAAGAACCCGCATCCCGTAAGTCTGTAGTCAGCCCCCTCTAATAGTGTGCCTGAAGGAATTCAAGGTATTTCTTCATCAACGAGGCTCCCAACACAGGAAACTCCAATCCACCCGGATAGCTTTCTAGCGCCCTGGTCGTATTGGTCGTATCATATACAGGCATATTTTCGTATAGCTCCCATCTTGTACGCCCATCCTGTACTTGTTCTGCCAACATGGGCTGCAACGGCAGCAAGCGCTGTGGCGGGAAGGCGGCTAGATGCTCTATCCATTCAGTGTAGGAAACACCATGAATAGGTAAGCCCCCAGCCTCGCCAATTAGATTCATTGAGTCGTCCATGTCAATAGACACTGCCCGTGTCGGGGGCACAATGTGATAGGCTCGGCCGAGTGACTCTGGGGACATAGCAATATGCAGGATGGCAGCATTGACGTAGTCGACCGGCACAAACTCCTTGCGTTGTCTAGGAAGCTTAGGGTAGCATCCCATTTCGCAGCAGGCTTGAATCAGGCGACAGAAAAAGTCGTCAGGATTGCAGGCACCTGTCTGGCTATGGCCGGTGATAAAGCCCGGACGGTATACGACGATGGGAAAGCCTCGGTCCATCAGACGCCGCATAAGCTGCTCAGCCACCCATTGACTCTGGGCATAGCCATGGTCGTACGGCAAAGCGACGAGATGCGGTAGTAGCGACTCATCTTCCTTGACTGTAGTCGCGCCCGTTACAAACCCTGTAGGTCCGAAGCAGGAAATGCTAGAGACATAATGGACTGCCTTGACTCGTCCAGTACAGGCGAAGCGCACCACGTTTAGTGTGCCTAAGGTGTTGGCAGCCCGATGTAGCGAGTAGGGTTGTGTGTAGTTTACGCGGGCTCCCAGGTGAAAGACGACGCTGGCCCAACTAGCAACTTCCTCGAAACGGTTTCGGCCCATTCCTAGATACTCATCCTCAAGGAGACCGGGGATAGCAAGAAGCTTATAGGCAAATGACTCCTCCCAGAGATTATACTTGGCCATGCCAGCCTTTAGCCTCTCCATGCCGGCCGTCTCGTTGGTTGCGCGAACAAGGCAGCCAATCTGGCGGACGTGCGGCATACGCAAGAGGTCGGCAAGCATAAAGGCGCCGACAAACCCGGTCGATCCCGTGATGAATATGCGTCCTTCGAGGTCCCGACACCAGTCGATTACTGTCCCTGATGGGCAGGGCAGGTCGTCGGCAACCATGCTGTCGGCAAGCCAAGCGTCTCTCTCGTCACGGAGAGTTTCAGAACGTCCGTTTAGGCCCTCTGTGATTACCGACTCAAGGGCGCATAGGGTCGAATTATCGTAGAGCGTAAGGAGGGAGACTTGTACGCCAAAGGTGCGCCGGATTTGACTTATAAGCAGGGAAGCCTGAAGAGATGTGCCGCCGAGGTTAACAAAGTCGTCTTGATCCCCAAATACAGAAATCGGCGTTGCTAGAATTGTTGCCCAGAGACCTGCTAACCTGGAGCGGGTATCTTGAGGTGTGTCCTGTGGCTCTAAGAGAGAATCTTTCTTCCATCGCTGACTAAATAGCTCTGCTAACCGCTTGCGATCTATCTTGGCGTGGTTGTTTAGGGGCATTTGCGAGATGACCTCTAGCTGAGGAACCATGTAATCAGGAAGGATGGCCTTGATAGACTGCATTGCTTCGTCGGTGGCGGGCGGCTTGGACAAATCGATAGGTACGGCATAGGCCACTAAGATCGACCCGGCTCCCATTTCTGGGATTTCTATCTTCATTGCCACGGCTTCTGCAAACAGACGAGTTACGAGAAGGGCCGACTCAACTGCTCCAAGTTCGATGCGAAACCCGCGGACCTTGACTTGGTGGTCGCGGCGACCGATGTAGTCAACCTGACCGTCTGGGCGGCGTTGCACGATATCTCCCGTTCGGTACAGTCTGACAGGCTTACCTTCGATGGTCGTCAGGTCTGGGCTGGTTGTAAACGCGACAGCGTTTTTGTCTGGCTGGTTGACATAGCCTGGGGACACGCCAGGACCACCAATCCAGAGTTCCCCCTCGTCACTGGGGCGGCCTGTGTCGTCGGCAATGTAAGCAATGGCGTCGCCGACGGGCTTTCCAATGCTCACGGAGCCATCCCGGATGTCTTTGGGCGTGATTCGATGAGCCAGGCAGAAGATACAGCACTCAGTCGGTCCGTATGCGTTGATGAGCATCTCCGGAGGGCCCTCCTCGAGTATGATTTTTAGGGCGGCAAGATTGGCTGCTTCACCTCCTATAAAGCAGATGCGCAGCTTGGCGAAGACTTGCGGATGCGTAAAAGCTGCAAGATTGAGCAAGGCAGTAGTGGTGGCCATAACTGTGATGCCTAGCCTTTCAATCTCGCTTGCCATGACGGGCAGATCTAGCAAGACGGCCTTGCTTAAGACGGCAATCCGGGCACCGCGCAGTAAAGGTGCCCAGAGGTCAAACAAAGATACGTCAAAGCTGCTGTTGTTGACATGAGCCACTATATCGGTAGCAGATAGGGGCTCAAAAGGGGCGTGGTAGACGACGTGTAGGATGGACCTAGCAGCAATCTGGACTGCCTTGGGCTCGTCCGTGGTTCCAGAAGTATGGATAAGGTGCGTGTAGTGCTCAAGGTCGGTTGCAATCGGGAACTTATCATTTCCAAGAGCCGGTCCTGCACCGGGAAATTCGTCGATACAAACAACATGAAAAGGCAGGTCGCGGTGTCGATTGGCGTGATCAGTCAGAACGCACCGAGCATCCAAGCGTGTTAGCCTGCCCTGTATCTGACGGTCGGAAAGTGTTGGGTCCATTGGAGCACAAGTGCGGCCGGCGTAGATGATGGCTAGTTGGGCAACCGCGTCGGCTAGACCATGCTTCACCACGATCCCCACTGGTTCCTGCAAACCAGACGTGCATTGTGAGATCTGCCTCGCCAGAAAGCAGGCTTGAGAGTGTAGCTGATCATACGTGAGGACATCTTTGCCATCCACAATCGCCACGGCCTCGGGGAACCTTTGAGCCTGGCTGTAGAATAGCTGGCCAAGACCCACGTTGCGGCCGGCTGTCACCTCATACTCATCGCCGGGGCATGAAAGACGGGACGGCATCTCTGATATTGACAAACGGGTTGAGAGGGTGAGATGTGTTTCAAGGTCAGATCAAGAGAACGGTGGGCAGCGTCCGAATAGTGGGGGATATCATATCATGTATGAATGGCCACCAAAGAGTAGGAACACCATCTTTTGTGCTTGGGCCATTTGATCAGAAGCTCGTAGAAGTTCGCGCCACGCCGCAACAAAAGAAAGCAAACTGCCATATTCGCCCGTGAGGCAACATGACTCACGAACAAGCTGCTTTACGGGCTCGGCACGTTCGGGGATGCAGAATGGGCCGCCGAACGGCACAGAGCTGGAGCGTTATCAAAGGGACATGTTGGTTCGACCCTGGCCCTGAGAGTAAGCCAGCCCCGAGGGGCTACCAGGCCCAATATTGATCTATATACTCCCTACCCCCTACTTTCCACATTTCTTCGTGCTGCGGCAAAGGTAAGTATTGATGACACTTGCAAGCCGTGTCTCGAAATGTTGCATCCAGTGGGAAGAAAGGGTGCGGGGACCATGATTGACCATGTCTGCGAACCATGCATGTTGATCATATCTTAGTTCCTCGGATAATCGGTTGGCTTCGTGATTATGCATTCTTGCTGATCGACGTTGCATCCATGCAGTTGTGACAGCAGGCTGAGTCGGAGCAGTCAGCCACAACATTGTTTGTTGTGGGCGGCTCCCTGTTTCCTGCAAAGTGCTCAATGTGTGCGACCACGGGCTTGCCTATATGAGCAGAACACGTGGTTCTTCGATGCGGCCATTGTTTCCGCCTCCTTGCCGCAGCGAGCTTATGTTGGTCGTGGAGGCGCATGCGTATGGCTAAACGAACAAATCCAACAAACAATTATGGCCAAGGCTGACGGCATCCATCTCGAGGCTGTCAGGGGCGTGGGTAAGACCGGGTCCGCCAACTGCCGATACTGTGTAAGCATATCTTTTCCCGTACGAGTTCGACGCACCCTGTCAGTACTCGCGAGGCGGCTCTTCGGCTCTCACGCCAGGGGCGGCCCATGATTCATGAGCATTTCCTGTGCATATGCAGAGGGCCGCCGCCGCCGTTAATGGTCGTGCCCGGATGAGACTCGTACACGAGCTTCACGGTTCTATTCGCTGTGACGCAGCCCCCTCGCTTAATTCTTCATGCAGTGTGTCGCCTGGGTCTCGGCGCTGAGCGGATAGTCGATATCGCCCTTCCTGGAGAGCGGCGTGTAGACGAGTTCGCGGTCATACGCTTGGAAGATGAGGTGGATGCCCGTTTTGACCCGGAAGGGGGGGTCTGGGCTCGGATACGAAAATCGGCCGAGTACAAGGGCTGCCTGGGGAGCGGACATCGACTTCTTCTGCCACCGTCGCACGTCTTGATCGCCCTTGAGTAACCTGGCGTTGTGATACATGGCGTTGTCCCCCGGCCTGGCCTCGATGTGGTCGATCTATCTCGAGTTGGCGAGACGCCCAAACGCCAGCCCCATCTCCCCACGGCTGGGAAAAGTCGGACTCTGCCAAAAGACCATCCATATTCCCCATCCCTCAGCCTTGCCTCAGGGCGAACCCTTGACCCAGCATAGTCTGGACCGACGCCAGCTACAGCAGCATTCATCACTTCCGAGGCACCCCTTGCGCTGTCATCAAAGCTGCCGTCCTATCCGTTGCTTCCATGGTTACATGTTGGATTTGGTCGATGATATGACCGTTGGCCCCGTGCATTTAGATTCCGTCGGCGCCCGCGGAGATGACAGGTCTCGCAGCCTTCCCGATAAGTCGGGTGTGGTCTCGGATCATCTCCTCCATCGTCTCACGCGGTGTTGGGCCTTCGGACTGCATGGGCACCGCACTGCCGGATGACAAGTCGAACTCACCCGCCCTGAGCCCGGTCGGATGGGGCGGAGAGCACCCTGGCCCAGAGAGCTAGCTGTAGGAGCTGTAGGAGCCACTTGATTGAACTGGATTGACGACATAGCTCCCTGCTCGTATTTGACCGGCGATTCACATCCCGGGGGTAATCGAATGGCTTACGGCTTCCCGGGAAATAGAGGTTGCCTCGGACACCACTTGTAGACCGATCCTGGGAACTGATGCGCGTTGGCCTTGGCATTGGGTCTCTAGCACGGCATCGGCGGTGAGAGATCATCGGCAAGAAATCTTGTGAGAGGGGACATGATTGTTTGGTGCTGCATGGCGCATTGTCTCACCCGGAGAGAATCGAGAGAAGGGACTCGTGGGGCGTCGAGGACGACACAAAGCCTGTTCTCGAGGTGGATATACGTAGCTACGTGTTTCATCGTTAACCAGAAGTTACTTGTTATGAGGAACGGGTGAGAGGCTGGTGGTTGAGCCTTGAGCATGGCCAAAAAGCAAGAGCGGAAAGCGCGTGCTTTGATGATCAGTTTGGCAACAACCGTGTAATAGCCACGCTCGCGGGCTGCACAGGAGCAAGACGCATTCGCTCTCAAACGCTGGCTTGGGGGCCACACTCTCTGAGTGACGGGGTACGTAAATATAGGAAGGCTTTCCCTCCCGCACTGAACATGTCTGTAAGTAATGCACAGTTTCTGCTCTTCACCTGAGGAGGATAATTACAGGCACGCCACCATTGGAAACGCCAAGCGGCAAAATATATTTCCCTTCCCTTGGTTAAAAGAATTTTCCGACAATGTTATATGATAGAACGCTCTTCTTAGATTGCACAGTACGTAAACACGTCGGTCTATAGAGTACAAATGGCGTGTAAGTTGAGATATATGCTCATACTTGGAATTGGCAACCGCTGCCCCTTACCACCTAATCCCATCGCCCTAGGCACCAGTAACTGTCCGTGGAAACGGCCGAGCTGTGAGCGTATCAATGCTGAAATCTTTTGTCGTTTCCCCCAGTCTATATATACACACTGACTCCAGTCGTTACTCCAGCTACTCTCTCCCGCGCCTCGTATACATACCTACAGCAGCAGATACAACCTTGCAAGTAGTCATAGATTTCGGGGCTGTCTGGCCGCTCGTGGGCTCGTACAACAAGTTGGCCATGTGGCACTCCTCTACACCGCACATTGTCGCCTGGACACTGGGCGGTGCGCAGCTTGGCTGACCACGAACTTCGTATCCGATCCCGGTATGCAGCCGCATGCTGTCGGACCTCGGAAAAGGGGAAGTTGGCTGGACGATAAATTGGGATGTCGCGTACCCTGCACGTTATGTGCAAAGTACGTGCTGAGACATACCACAGTTTCGGGTAGTCTGCAATTCCCGTACTTTGAGGGGTGTTACGTTCATCGCCACCGCACTCCATGTCTCCAGAGTCATAGGCCGAATACTAGCATCGGGCGCAATAAACGTGAAAGCTCAGTCGGTACTGTGTTACGACGAACTGGGACGCCCATTACACATAGATAATTTGTAGCCACCGTCGCGGCCTCTGCTTGATGCAAGGGTAGCTACGAGGTGGTGGCTTCAAGTTACGTCGACTGAGTCCGCCACCTCGCACCTATCCTTAATAAATAGTCGTCGCGGCCATTCTATCCTTCTTCGGAGACACAATTAAGCGTATTCTCTTCCGAGATGTTAAGCACATCATCCCATCAGCCGTAATCGTCAAGGCCAAGGTGAGATCAATCCTTTCAAGGCAGTCTACCTCCATTTTGACGATGATCAAAGGGAAAAGAGAAGTGGCAGATTCTGTTCAAGATCTTCACAGGTAAATTTTCAACGACTGGCAACTCATCCACTGCCCGTCCTGAACGGAGGGGTTTCCCACAGACACTTCTTTCGACGCCTCGTAAGGAATACCCCATGTACCTACGGGTATGCTCGTAACTAAAGGAACTTACCTCCGAGTTGCTACTGAACGGTCTAGCCATTCGAAGAAAACGACAGATGAGTTCGAGTCGTAGTTTTGTGGTTTCCCACTTTCGTCCCCGATTGCGGGTGAGCCACAATAAGGGGCTTCTTGCTTTGCTTCTCCATAGTTGGATCCTTGCCGCGGAAACTGCTAGCTCCACCACTATAGGATTGTTTTCTCTTCTCGTTATGACTGCCGTGCTTACTGGGAGATCCCGGGGTTGGTAGTCGGAAATGCATTCAAGTTGGCTCGAAATGAACTTACGTCTGCCAGCAAGCATCAAAAGCAGCCTTGCCATATCTGGGATTCGTGCCACGCATTGTCAACCTCTCAAGTGTGGCGGCACACCTATATTTTCTCGAAAGTCGGGCAGAGGTCACTTGAGCTGTTGGCAAGCATGTGGATTGGGCTGTCTGCAATTTCGAGATATTCTTTGCCGAAGTGATTAGAACGGATATCATTTGGAATAGGGTGGTGAATTCAAAATGAATGAACTAGTGACGTTAGCTTCTAATTTCGCATAGAAGTCTTTCGTTTTATAGAGCTTCTCCAATAAGTTATTCGTGATGTGCATACATGTGTATTCCTTGCATACTTTTCGTTCCAGTGAATGGGCTCACCTGACCGTGAACTGAGTTAGCATTAAACCTTTCTTTACCGGCATGCCAATGCTAGATCACACATGCGCTGCATCTACTGTAGTACGACCGATGCTAATATGTTTGTTCGCAGTTAGTTGCCGAGTCTTCCCAAGCAATGGCCCCTTGCATGCCAAGTCTCCCATACATTGTCAGTTGGATGAAAGGCTAAGCAGAAGGGTACCGAAGCGAGAAACTTCCATGTCCTACTGAGCTACGTCGCGTTGGTGCACAAGAGTATCCCAGAATTACGTGTAGAGAAGATGGAGATGGCTGGAAATGAACTCGGTACACCGCCCTTCTCATGACATTTTACAATGACCTTGTCGTTTAGCTATCCACTGGCCTTTTCCACATGCTACGTGTAAGAGCGCCGGCACAATGTGAGCCAAGATACGTTCCCCGCCGCACTCACGCCACCATTCCAAGTGAAGCTTTCCGCGAAGCCTCTTTTCTTTCGAAATCTACGATTATAGAGTCGCCACCTCCCCTTCACTCGGGCCCCTCGAGGCCGCCAAGTCCGACCCGGCTTCGAGACCGCTCTTATTAACGGCCCCTGCAGAATAATTACCTCTCGAAGACTAAATATTATAGATAAGGTTATGGTACCGATATAAGGCATATAACAGCCTTACTAGGTGTGACGGCCTAGCACCGTCACACCCCCTTTGCATACATGACCCACATGTTGCTGAGCCAACGGCCCACACGTACGGAAGGCATATTTAGGGAGAGGACACCCAGTTGTATTGTTCTGTTCTCCTTTCTCTTCTTCAGAGCAGAATCTTCGTAATAGAGTCCACAGCCTTCTGGCTCAGTCCGTGACCGTCACACTATTCTGCTCTCTACCACGCCATCGCTGCCGAGCGATTCATAAGAACGCCACGACTTTACCCCATGCCAAGACTGCGCTCGGCCGGCCCACTTGAACAGGACACGGCCCTCCATAGATCGCAGCTCCCACGACCCGTCTTACCAAGCATCGAAGATCAAGACCAAGACCAAGACCAAGACCAAGACCAAGACCAAGACCAAGACCAAGACCAAGACCAAGATCAAGATCAATACCAAGACCAAGACCAAGACCAAGACCAAGACCAAGATCAAGACCGAGATCAAGACCAAAGAAACAGTTCAGGGACCATCGAATCGCACATAACCATCCAGGAAGGACAGGGACCTAAAATGGCTGACAGAACCAATCAGGAGGGCAGCAGCGGCTTGTTCACCGAATTGTCTCCCGAGCAGAGACAGCAATTAACCGACCACATCAGCCGAGAAGTGGCCCGTTTGGTCGCCCAAGTACGAGTGACCGAGCCAAGAGACAGCCAATATGGTGAAGATGAAGTCAGCACACCAGGCCAACGGGAAGGAACAGCCTTTGACGACCGCGAAGAATTCCGGCCGTCAGGATATGCGGCCCTTTTAGCCTTCCGGAGATATGAGTCGATGGATGGCACCAACCCAAACTATAGAGAGGGACGGAAACGTCGGGGAGAGAAACCCACCATGTTCTCCGGCGAAGGGACTCCCTCGTTTGAAAGCTGGATTAAGCAAGTAGAGGGCAAGTTCGAGGAGGACAACGATACTTTCGCCTCTGAGAAGACGCGGATCAACTTCGTGATTACGCGTCTCGAGGGCACCGCGTATAAGACCGTAGAAGGACGCCACCACTCGCTGACTCGGCCTTTCACAACATTGGCCGAACTAATCCAGGTCCTCCAGACAGCGCACACAAACCCAAACAAAGGCGCCGACGCCCGCGCCCAGCTGCGTGTCTGCAAATACGATTGGAAGAAGGACTTCAATATTTTCTTGGGAATTCAACTCCATGTACGAGGCGGCGGGTACCAACCTTCAATGCAGAAACAGACCCTGTGGGACTCTCTTCCTGCTCCGGTCAACCAAGCGGTGGTCGAGAGGGTCTACGATACGAAAGTGCGCTACGAGGACTTCTGTGAGTCAGCACAGCACCAGGTGTTCGTGGCCCGCCACAACTTTTCCGAAGCGCAAAAGAAGCGCAACCACTCTAGTAGTAGTGGTGCCCGAGGGGTTCGGAACAATGGCGGCAACCGTAACAATGCCCGTGGTCGCCACCGGGAACAAACTGGCAACGAAGGGGCTAGCCGGGAAGCTGGAGGGAACCGTATCTCCGAGGAAGAGAGGAACGTCGCCGCATCAATAACCTGTGCTACCGGTGCGGAGAATCTGGGCATATCGCCCCATTCTGTCGCACCCGCAACAACAACACCCGGAAAGGCAACCACGAAGACCGTGGAGAGCAGGCGGCCCCAGTCAGCGCAGCGACAACCAACACCGCCACGGGCAAGGGCAAGGTTTGCGACCCAGACTCGAGCAGTTCGGGTCGGAAAACGAGTAGGCCAGGACAAAGTCTCGTTCCTGGCCGACTTGGTGTCTGTGATTGGAGCGGCGGATTTGGACAGACTCATAGGGGGCAAACAGCTGACAATCTCATCTCGCCTTAAATTGAACAACATGTCTATTCTCATTCGTGCCCTTGCAGACACCGGAGCGAGTATGTATCTCGCCATTAACCATAGGTTAGCGAGAAGAGCGGCCTCACAACTTGGGGCCCAGAGGAAGAGGCTTGATCAGCCAATTCACCTAAAGGATTACGCGGGAGTCAAGCACAAACACCCGATCAAGGAGGTTTTTTTTATGGACTTCGAGATTGATGGACGACTCCTAAAGAACTTACCATTCTTGGTCGTCCGGATGGACTACGACATCATCATTGGCAGGAAATGGTTTGAACAACACAGGGTCGCCGTTGCGCCTGGACTCAGGAAACTTCTCTGGTCATCAGGACGGGAAGGCGCGACGAGATTATCGGGCCGAAGACGAGACAGTCTGGGGAAGCCGTCCTGGCGAAACCCGACGATTCCAACCACGCGAGTCGACGCCGATAATCCGCAGCAAATCCGCGCTGTTTCCGGTACGGAGCCTATCCAAGGAAGGGGAAAACGGACGACCAAGAGGACGTCATCCGTGACTGTGGTCGCCTTGCTACCGACCAGCGTCTGGCCGGCCAGGAGAGCAATGCCGGCGGGCCGCCAACGTGTTCGGCACAAGCGCAAGCCCCAAGAATTCATGAACTAGCGTCTCCGGGAGCAAAGGGGACCCAAGTCGACCAGAGTCAATTGCCACAGGATGGACCACCCCACGACCACGACTCTGCAGGCCGACGGGGTGGTTGCCAGCTTTCTAAACCCGCAACAGGACCGGGAACTTCAGGGCTGCTGACAGCCCGCCTTAAGGGAATTCAGAGTGCATCGCGCCTCGGAGAATTGGCTCGAAGAAGTGTTACGGTGGCTCACGTGAACCCGCAAACGCCAGAGATGCCTAAGGTACCACCGAAGGACACCCGCCCAGTTATCCCACTTCCACGGGGTGAGGATGACGAGACGGTCCGCCTGATCAAAGAGAAACTCCCGACCCCGCTGGGCCATCTGGCTGGATTTTCTCGAAGAAGGAGTCTAACCAGTTGCCTCCTCTCCGCGGCCCAGGGAGGGACATGAAGATCTACCTGACCAAGCCATTGCCAGAGCGTTCGAGAGGTGTCTACCGCAACCCACATCATCTAGACGAACTACTCCGAAAGACGATTCAAGATTACCTGGACAAGGGTTTCATCGAGAGCTGCTGGCCTGGATTTGCCTCACCAGCCTTCTTTGTGCCCAAGGGTGACATGGGCATGGATTGAGATTCGTGATCGACTACCGGGACCTCAACGACGCCAGTGCAAAGATGAAGTACCCCATGCCTCTGTTAGAAGATACCCTGGTAAAACTAGCAAGCGCCAAGTTTTTTACAAAAATCGACATCCGTCAAGCCTTCCATAGGTTGCGAATGGCCCTCGAAAGTATGGATCTGACGGCATTTCGGTGCCGGCTGGGAACTTTCCGTTGGAAGGTGATGCCCTTTGGGCTGACGAACGGCCCAGCAATCTTTCAATGCTTTATCAACGACTGCCTGAGGGATATCCTGGACATCTACTGCAGTTCGTACGCCGACGACATCCTGATCTATTCAGAGTCGGCCGAGGAAAACGTGCGCCAGACCGAGGAAGTCATTCGACGACTGGCAGCGGCAGGCCTACAGGGCGACATCAAGAAGAGCTCCTTTTGCGTCACCGAGGTGGATTACCTCGGGCTGGTGATTAAGGCGGGAAGGTATCGCCCTTGACCCTAAGAAGAAACAGGCCATCCTTGAGTGGAGGCTGTCGGACCTAAAATCTACGAAAGCCATCCGATCTTTCCTCGGATTGGTTAACTTTGTCCGACGCTTCTCGAAAGAAGTAAGCGAGCTGGCGCACCCGCTCAACGAGCTCCTAAAAAAAGGGGCAATCTTCAAGATCGGCAAGCAAGAGGAAGCGGCTTTTGAAGCACTCAAGGAAGCCCTGGTCCGAGCTCCCGGAATGGGCTTCTGGAAGATAGGCGCCCTGACTCGGATAGAGACTGATGCGTCAAAGCATTCGGTAGGCGCCACCGCTTTACAACAACAGAACGACAACTCATGGAAGCCGGTGGCCTACTTCTCCAAGACCTTGTCGTCAACAGAGACGGTATGGCCTATCCAAGACCGAGAATTCCTCGCCATCATCCGCGCCCTAGAAGAGTGGAGGCCAGAGCTGGTTGGGGCCCTTTGAAGTAGTAACGGACCATGAAGCTCTCAAGTACTTTGCGACAAAGCGGGTTTTATCATCTCGACAAGCCCGTTGGGCACAGATTCTGTCGGAATTTGACTACAAGATGACATACCGACCCGGGAAGGAGAACATAATTGCAGATGCCCTGTCCCGGAAAAGCGAGAACTTCGAGACCGTCAGAGCCAGAGACCTGGATTCCCGCACCATGGAACTGGTCCCGAACGATCGGGTACCCGCAGAAGTTCTCGAGGAGACACATGTCGAAGCTGCTCCCCTAGACATCGCGGCAAATTCTGAGGACCGCGGCCCAGCAGTACCTGGGGAGGCACCAGCCGGAGTGTTCCTTGTGGAGCTGATTGTCCGGGAAAATGAGAAACAGATTCCCAAGGAGGACCGGCGGAAGGGAGATCGTATCTGGGTGCCGGAGTACTCGTCAGAAGGGCTCGCACTGCGAACTGCCTTAATCCGGGAAGTCCACGAACCCAAATCAAGGGGTCATCCCGGAAGAACAAGATGAAGGCGATGCTGCGGCCGTTCTATTACTGGCCACGTATGGATGAGGATCTCGCGCGCTACGCACGCAATTGCCAGGCATGCCGTAGGAACAAGGTGTGGAAAGATAAGTCACCTGGATTGCTCCATTCGTTGCCCGTCCCAGAGGAACCTTGGCATACCGTGCTGGTGGACGGAAAGGACATGCCGAATGATCGAAATGGATTCGACTACGTTTGGACGTTCATCTGCAAGCTGAGCAAGCTGATTCTCACGATTCCGGGGAAAAAGACAGACACCGCCGAAAGACTGGCCAAGCGATATTACCGCCGCGTGTTTGGTCACCTCGGTCTACCGAAGATTTGGCTCTCGGACAACGGACCACAGTTCATTTCGAAATTCATGGCCAAGGTCAACGAGATGACGGGAACAGAGCACAAATTCGGCAGTGCCTACCATGCGCAGACTCAAGGAGGCGTGGAGATTACCAACCAGTATCTTGACCAACGCTTGACGTTTTACGTGTCGTATTTTCAAGACGATTGGAGTGAGCATCTGGCGGCGTTAGACTTCGCGCATAACTCCACGCCGCACGACTCAACAGGCATGACTCGATCGAGGCCTCCCAAGGGCGAGCACCCCACGCGGCTTTCGTTCATATAGCGACCGACAAGCAGGTCGGGGATTGGACCGACGCCCAAAGGCAGCCAAGGACTTTGTGAATCGAGCCAAGAAAGTTTGTTCGCTGGCAAAAGGAACGTGGAAGCGGCTCAAAGGCGCCAGGAACGATCAGCCAATTTGAAGAGAAGAGTGCCCGATTTTGATGTCGGTGACTGGGTGTTTGTTTCGAAAAGGGCTGGTCAACTGACAGGCCAACAACGCGGCTAGATTCTAAGAACGCGGGTCCGTTCAGAATCGTGGCAAAGGGGTCACTCATTCGAGCTGGACCTACCCAAAGGCATGAGGGTGGCAAAGGTGCTGCATGCCGACCGGTTGAGAAGGGCTGCGCGAGACCCGCTGCCGGGACAGCAGGTGGAAGCTCCGCCGGCCGAGATGATTAACGGCGAGCCAGAGTACGAGGTGGCGAAAATATTGTCGTCAAGGATCTCAAGGGAAATTACAGTACCGAGCCGAGTGGGCAGGACAGGACCCTGACGAGCTATACTACGACGCTGAAGGGTTCAAGAATGGTGCCGCAGCTCTCAGGCGGTTCCACGACGAATATCCCGAGGCACCTGGACCGCCTGTACGATTGGCAGAATGGCTGCTAGCCGCTGCGGAAGACAGGTGGGCAGAGAGTCACAACGATGACAACAAGGCTGTCGGCCGTGGGCATGAGCGACGGCGACTGCGACGACACTCGTGAGGAGCCATCTCCACCGTTGGTGTTCGACGGCTTTAGGGGGGGGGTAGTGTGACGGCCTAGCACCGTCACACCCCTTGCATACATGACCCACATGTTGCTGAGCCAACGGCCCACACGTACGGAAGGCATATTTAGGGAGAGGACACCCAGTTGTATTGTTCTGTTCTCCTTTCTCTTCTTCAGAGCAGAATCTTCGTAATAGAGTCCACAGCCTTCTGGCTCAGTCCGTGACCGTCACACTAGGTTTCAAGAGGGTTCGAGCGCACTGACTACGATGGTATTGGCGGGCTGCACATACGCCGTACAATTGTCTCTAGGAATGTAGACGAGTTCGCGGGCAACTTGTAAAGTTAAACTAGATATAATACGTACTGTCGTAGAGCTTGAAGCCATGGATTTACTCGTGCTCGAACTCAGGCCGACAAATATATTTAGCCTAGTATAGAGAATAGCCTTATATGGATTTATAGCATCTCGCATCGGCGGACTATTTTAGCCATGTCAACCCGCATTTTGGTAGCTGGACAGAAAGTCCTAGTGGCGGGACAAAAGGCTTCGATGGAAACTCTAAGCGGTGTACAGGACATTGTTAAGCGTGAGGTTTTGCACCCTTGTTCCAGTGGAATGGAAAATCATGGAGGAAAGAGGAGCATATCAAAGCCTTGAAGAGAGAAAACATATATAAACCTTGGTTTCTAACTCGATATTTTGCAGGTCTCACTGTCATCAGCCGAAATATAACTCCAACTTCAGCTTCAAGTTGCCGTCAACCTCCCACAAAATGCACTTTTTCAAGACTGTTCGTAACTTTCGCCCCTTTGTGCAACGACGATTACTGAAGTTCTGTGACAGCTTGCCCTAGCTACGGCAGTATCCATAGCCGGGGCCCAGTCGACCGCCAGGCCGGTCGTCAACAATATTTCGGCTGAAGCTTCTAAAATCTCGACACTGAATTACACAGGCCCCAAATGCAGCTCCGCAGATGTACATACATGTGTGGTAAAAAGGGCCAAGTTGTGCAATTGTTGCCCCAACAAGACCTATTGCACCAGCGAGGAGGCGGTACAAATGATGAGCTGCCTCAGATACACAATCGATGGATGCGCAATCGAGCTATGCCAGTGAGCCTATTTGGGATATCTGAATTTATATCTAAGCTGTAGAGGGTTCCGAGACCAAATGGGGATCAGCTGCTCACTCAAGAGCAGTCTGGGTTCTATTGATGCATCTATCAGCCAGCACTCTCCTCATAAGACGACTGGCCACAACATTGAGCGCGACTGAGTGGCTGGCGCCTAGTGCAAGCCTGCACGTGTAGCAGTCCTTACGTTTGGAAGTACGAGGCATTGCAGTCGACAGTGAGACACTCACAAGGCCACGAATCATCAGAGCTTGTCTGCCGACTCATCCAGGTCGTGATACCGTTGGCTCGGCTATTGTCGAGTACTGTAGGCACTCCTGCCTTTCATCCTTGGCTGCCACTTAACACTGGTATCGCTAGGGCAGCTATCTCGCCTCTATTTCGTACAGTCTGACTCAAACATCCCTCTTGTCTTATTAAGTCAGTCAAGTCCCATTATTCACGGGCCGACAGAGTGAGTACGGCCGTTTCGAGGTCTGCACAGCCAAAGATATCACGGTCACATGATAAATGCGAACTTGCTAATTCGAAGGTAGGGTGGTTGAATGGCTATATGCTTTTGAATAATGTGGTGTCACAGGTCCCGGGGCCGGCTGACCGGTCATCCGGTAATCGGATTACCGCCCCGCCCCACGCAAAACCATGTCGTTTTCGAAGGCCCGGCCCTGCGGGGCTGGCGTTTTCTTAGTCGGATTACCGCCATCGGACGGCAAAATCGAAGGTCCACGCCCGCGGGGCCTGCGCGAGACCTTCGATTTCGGTCTCGCTCACGCGCGTTGCGCTCCACCTCCTCCTCCCACCTCCTCCTCCACCTCCTCCATTGCCACCGTCGCGACGGCGACCGCCTGCACCATGTCGAACGCGATAGAGGATCCCCGGGTCAGGGCGGCCATTGAGCACTACCTGTTAGATCTGGAGAACACCCAGCCGAAGAATACGAAGCGAAATTATCGTCCCAAGCAGGAAGAATGGAAGGCAAGCCCGCATGCGCGCCCTGCAATCTTCATGTAGATCCATGCATTGACCGCCTCACAGGAGTGGTGTCAAGCCAACTGGCCTGCGATCCCGGACGTTTGGCCGGCCTCGGTACCACAGGGCCAACAGCTACCGGGAGACCTGGTCGATGAAGGAAAGCTCTTGCTCTTCATGAAGGAGGTAGTGGCATCACGTCCTCCAAAGAAAGGAAAGAGGGTCGCCGATGAAAGAAAACGACACCTCGAGGCTCAGGAAGCCAAGAGGGCCGTGAAAGACGCAGAGCACCATCAGGTAACAGATGTTGATCACGGGATGTGGTCGTCGGACTGAGCCAGCCCATCATACTAACACCCAGCTTCCCCAGCAGATACCATCGTTGTAGGCGGCGGAGGTAGCGAATACGAGTCAGACTCCGACTTGGAGTTGTATGAGTCCACGCTCAAACTACAGTATAATACTGTACGGGGCTACGTCTCGGCCATACAGAAGCTTTACGACGAGCAGAAGAGCCGGGAGTCAATCCTGCGGCCCGGCCACAGGGTGGCACTGAAGGCGCTCAAACGCAGCATTCTTGCAACGACTTGGAGCCGGAAGAGGAAGGAATACATGGACAGGGAGTTGGAACTCTGAGAGATGTGTATGCGCCGGCGCAGATACCCGACCACACCAACGTGGCATGGTCCGAGAGGAGAGAGATATCGCCTGCGCCCTGAGGACGCAGGTGGACTTTCTGCTCGGGAACCACATGCTGCTGCGGTCCGGCAACCGCCTGCCGATGGAGTTGGCAGACTGCTTTCCCCTGGACTTACCCAACGAGGGCTTCAAGGCCCAGGGTATACCACAAAGGCGCTGGTTGTCGTGATGAACTGTGGGAAGACCAACCAGCACGGCCGCATGGAGTATGGATCTGCTTTGCGGCATCGAGATCCGCGATCTTGTCTCATCGGCGCCCTCGCGTTCTGGCTTTTCTGGCGCTGGCAGGTAGAAAAGGCGGAAAGGTTTCCGTCTTCCAAAGAAGCGAAGACTGGTATGAAACGAAGGTGCTCCGCCGATCGGCGAAGGAGCCTCAAGGTAAGCGTGATGGCATTCACCGGAATCCCATAACTCAGAGGTGCATCGACCCTTTCACTCACCGAATATACAGCTCCGTTGTCGGGCCAGACTGCCCGAGAATGGACGTCCAGGTTCTACAAGAAGGCCGGCATCAAGGTCTCCAAGGTCAGCCACGCGCCTAGAGTGGCCGCGACGCAAAACGCCGACATGGCCGGAGTGGATGAAGGCCAGGCATGTCATCTGCCCTAGGCAAGCCGCCAACCCCCTGGCCTGGGCTGACCCGAACTATACAGATCCGCCGAGCCGGTCGTTGGAATAACGGAGACCAAATGACCGGCTGCTATCTGACTTCCTGCCTTTCGAATTCGCGAGGGCCGTGGCCGACTTTGACCCTGAATGGTCGGGGTCTTATTTCGTGCCCCGGCCACCGTGAGGCCGCCTGTGGTGCTACTCGTGCAGGTCTGGCCTCAACTCGACAAATGGAAAGAGGCCCACAGTAGCCCTTTCTCAGATCTCGGGTGGAGCAGAACATGGCGCCGGCGCCTTCTTGGAACTCCTGGAGTGGCTTCGAGAGGTGCTCCTGCAGGACGCTGTCTTCCTTCGCGAGTCCTACCCCGACCATCCTATCTTTCAGGATCCGGTCTTCTCTTGCCCCGAGTTTGAAGCGTTCGCCAGCAAAGTTCAAGACACATGCACACGGGACCACGAAGACAGCCATACCACGGTCATTCAAAAAGCGATCCCGGTGGTTGCGGAGAAGCTGCGCACAGTACTGACTCAACAGGTCGCAGCCGAGCAGTTAGCTGAGCGAAGACATCTAGACCTTTTGGGGGCTTCTTACGAACTATGCACAAAGTTGGATGAGTTTGCGCAGGCGACCTACACCGTCACCTTCAGCCCCGGCCAAGGTGCTGCAGGTCAACATGCGGAGATCGCGGGAGCTCATCAACAGAGGCGCCGCGCTCCACGAGAGACGGTCCTCAGGTCCGAGATAGGCCCTTCGCAAGCGGGCGGTCCGACATACGCTCCGCTCTCTAGAGCAGCAGCAGGGAATGGTGCAAGCGGGCCAGGGGCAAGCCCCCCAGGGAAGAGCGCATGGCGAGCCGCCTGGGCCGCGCGAACCTCCGAGCTTCAAGCTCCCCCGTTCTGTCAAATCTGTACAGGAGCTGCTGCGTCTCTGGCGGCAGGGCTGGGGCGAAATGCCTTCTGTGGATTCTCTTGAGCGAGACTGGGGTGCTCGATGGCGGCCATCTGCAGAGAAGAATTACTTTTCCACGCGCAAGATCATCGTCGATGAGGTTCGGAGGCGGCCCAGTCGGACGGCTTAACTGAAGATATCGTGGCGAGGCAAATGGACGAAGAACGTGGACCCAGCTCTTTGGATAAGTTGTTCAAGGCCATCCGAAAGGACAGGCAAGGCGAAAAAGGGACACAAACGTGCGTCGGGGCAATTCAACGTCGGTGGTAGCGAAAAGTCGATGGCGCAGTGATTTTGAACACCCGTCTGATAGAATGACGAGGACCTTGGCGGCGAAAGTGCCCCCAGGCCGTCAGGGGCTGCGTCGCTACAGTCAGCGGTAGTGGCCTGTAGACAGGGTATGCATCCGCTAAGCGCCGCTGTAGCTCCAGCGCGTCAAGGCTAGAAAATGCTTCAAATCACCGCAACCTCGCAACCGACAGGATGTAGGACCTTAGACAGGGTGCATTCTGATCGCACAAACGCAGGCTATCCAGTCGAACTGGTTTTGTCGTCGTCGGTCCCGGCTTTCGCGCTTTATGGCGCTCCGAAGATGACATCAACCCGGCAGAGGTGATGTCAAGGGCAAGCGGGTAATCGGCGGTAATCTGCGGGGTAATCCGCTGACCGCCCACCAAAGCCGGACCTGTGACATCCACTTGATGTCAATCTCACGGGTACTTCAAAGCTCGATGAGGTCCACTTCGCGGTGCGCTCTTCAGGACGCACGTCGAGAATCAGCCTATGGCTCGGCCCATTTTGCGGCTACGGTGCTCTTCCGCATCCTTCCTGCACCACTCTATGCTGTCATACCCCTACGTTTCACTCCTTGGACCCCATGTTAGGGGCGCACCGGAAAACTCAGCCATCACAAGGCACCTTGCCCACACGTGCAGCAGACGACTTGAGTTTCGGCGATGAGATTATTATAAGTCCCGTCAACGCTACCATCTCAGGTGCCCAACCTATGCACAGGTTCGCCTTTCCCCGCAAACTCGTCGTCCATCAAACCGTCCCATCTTGCGTCTCTGCCCCAGCGAGGGAATCAATTCCCAGAACAAGCAAAACCATGACAAAAGCTCGATCCCGAGACAGATACAAAATCGTGCAAGTACGGAATCGGCACCGCCGACGTCTAAACCTACTTCGAATCTGGTCCTGGGAAATCGCCTTGCTCGTCGCCGCCCTGGGGCTCGTCGCCGCAATCGTCGTCCTCCTTGCAAATTTTAACGGCCAGGAGCTTCCACGATGGCCGTACAGCATTAACATCAATACTCTGGCATCGCTACTCACGTTATGTCTCCGCGCTGCCTTGGTTATTGTCGCGGCCGAGATTGTCGGGCAGTCTAAATGGATCTGGTTCCACGGCAACACGCAGCGCCTTAGCGACTTCCAGACATTTGATGAGGGCAGTCGAGGCTTGCTTGGCTCACTCAAGCTCCTGTCTCTCCTCCGCTTTGGCTTATATGGGAATCCATTAGCGGCAGCCGCGGCAGTAACGACAATCCTGAGCCTGGCTATTAGCCCTTTCACCCAACAAGCAATTAAAACAGTGTCATGCGCCCGCTTGACGTCGAAAGCTAGCGCAAGAGTCCCCGTGGCGATTAATGTTCCTGGAGTCGACAACTTTTACGCTATCGAAGACTCGCCAGATATGTACGATTTAGGGCCCAGAGTCCAACGCGCCATGGTTTCCGGCCTCACGAATCCTTCGGGAAACGATAGCGCCATCCAAGCTCAGTGCCTGACTGGGAACTGTACCTTTCCAGAGGCCTTCGAAGTTCCGCATTCAACCATCGGCCTGTGCTCTCAATGTATGGAGACGACGTCGCTGTTGAGCTTTTCCTGGAGAATAGAAGATTTCGCCATGGTTAAAAACTATAACACCACCAATGCTTCGCTAGGCGACCTGACGCTCAGCCTCAAATTTTCGGACACGTGGCTTACTACTGGAAGCACCAACTTATCCTACGCGGAGTCGAGGATGTCTCCCGAATTCAAGGAAGTAGCCCAGCAGGCGTTCAGCAACATCTCTATTCTGACAGTATCCGGGACCACGAGCGAATTCTGCAGGGTGAATCAGCTCCCGCAATGTGTTGTCGCGGCATCCTGCACGCTGTATCCTTGCATGAAAGACGTCAGGGTCAACGTAGTCAACGGCCGGCTCGAGGACCGTGTTGTCAAGACAGTGCCGGCTCGAGCAGCGCCGGAAGTGGGTATCAAACGAAGTTCGTGGTCGATATATCGCCCAGACTATCATGTAGTCAAGAGTCCTTGTGTGGTCGACGGCCAGCTGTACGATGCCTCAAACTTCTCCCTAGTTCCCGTCGACCCGAGTAGAAGGGATTTCGCCAAGGCACGGGTGGAAGGCGAGGTGATGTCCGTGCCGTCGGACTGTCGATACACCATGGGAGGCGACTACCACCATGCCCTGGGGCTCTTTATGCGCAGAAATCTGTTTCATGGAGGATGCAAAAACGGGCTCAGAAACGATTTGAAGGAGCATCTGGACTGCAAGCACACGTGGTGGTTCCATCAATTTTATAACAACGGCCGAGCGTCTTTTGAATCCCTCAGTACTTCGTTTCAAAACATGGCAACCGCTACGACTAACTTTTTTCGAGAGGACGGATGGGGTCCTATCCATAACTTTACCGCATACCATGAGGGGAACGATTCCACCAAGTTCAAGACGTTCCTAAGTGGCGAGATGTGGGAAACGACCGTCTGTATGCGCCTCGAGTGGCCATGGCTGCTGCTGCCGGTGATACTATGTCTCACAACGGTGGTACTGCTGGTCGCAATGCTCTTAGTTAACGCCGCCGACCCTGATCAGCCCGTTTGGAAGTCGAGCATGCTTCCGCTGTTGTTCCTTGGCCTCGACACTCAGCAGGCAGAAGAAACCTTTGGCGCGGTCTATGCGGAGGACTTGGACAGCCTAGACAAGCAGGCAAAGGGCCTAGCGGTGACTCTGGATCTGGGCAGTTCCGGTTCGCGCCCCGGCATAACACTGGCGGACCAATCGATGACCGAGAATGAGGACATCGCGTATTCTGAGGAATTTATCCACCAGCTTGCAGTCGCCATACCTCCGGTGTTGAGTCGCAGTTCCAGTCGTGACGACACTGACCGGACAGCATCTCATACTCCTGGGGCCTAGAGTCGGGACATTGGGAGTTTCATGGTTGTCGTGCGACTATCAACAACTACTTAAAATGAGCAATATGTACGATTGAAGCGTCGAACGGTGATCTTAGGCTTGGTTGCTTGGCAGAGGCGTCGACAAAGCAAGAAATGAAGAGGACGTCGAAGCCTCAACCCTAGGCTTTGAAGTTGCAATCAAGTTTGCCGAACTGGGGTTCTCAGCTGAGGACGCTCCGAGTCTCCTCAGTCAATCCACTTTCCTGAAATGTCTGTGTTTTGTTCCTACCCATTATTGAAGTAAAGACGTTTGTTCAGCTCGTTACCAGCGCAACCACGGACCACGAAACATTCACCAGATTGAAGCACCTGAACAGGTGATTTTCTGTGCCAGCTGCCCTAGTCACGTGGGAGAAGTTTCAGAACGCGTGTTCAGGCGTGGGCAGAATAGCAGAAGAACTTGAAGCTCCGCTCGCGACTTGAGTTGCGGTCCTGCACAAACTGGCGAGACAAGAAACCCTCGACTTCCAAGCTGGGATCATCGGCCTCTCTGCCCTGCGTTTCCTCGACCGATCTCAAAGTGTTTCTTTCTGCCGCAGCCACCCTTGAAATGGAGCCCAAGCGACCTCGTAACGGCGAGAAAACCCCGGGGTTCAAGGTTCGTCAGCTCGGAACTGCTTTCCTCTTGACCACGCCCATCACTCCAGCCTTTACACTGTCGGTACTGACCTGGAAAATATGATGATATAGTGCTTTCTGCTCAGAACGAGTCTCTTGGCGGCCGTGTTCCTGTACGGCCTCGACAACGCCGTTGTCGCCAACATCCAGCCGGTGAGGCTTTACTGCCCCCCAGAGCCACCTATGCTCCAGCTCCCACAACATCCCGTGCTGTTGCTGATCGAACTGCGGGACTCCAGGTCATCGCGACTCATTTCCATGTCGTAGACGGGCTTCCCTGGCTCTCGGCAGGGTACGTGCAGTTCCTTCAGAGAAACACCAGGACAGAAACGGCATGGAGGTTGACAGCCTTGAGCAGATTCATGATCGGCGGCCTGGCCGTAGTCATGCCTCTCGGAAATCTCTACGCCGTCTATGAAGCTAAACGCCTGTTTCTCTTCTTCACCGTCAACTTCCTGGCCGCCCTCGCCCTCTGCGGCGCTGCCCCCAGCATGCCTGCCGAGATTGTCGGGCGAGCATGGGCTGGTGCTGGAGGAAATGGCATGCTCCATGGACTCTTGACCCTCGTTGTACGCACTTCGTCTGCGAGGCAACTCCCAGTCCACCTTGGCTACGCGTGCGTATCACCTGTGTCCCAGCGCAGCACGTTCTGGACCGCCGCTCACTCGATTTCTTTTACCTGATGATAGGTCCATAGTCTGTGTGCTCGGCTTTGTCCTGGGCCCTACCGTTGGCGGCGCCTTGGAGCTGCCTTCTTGGCGTTGGGCCCTTTATTTGAACATCTTCCTCGGGTTGTTTGTCCTGCTCGCAGGCGTCTTCCTCATCCCGTCCGAGCAACCGACATCACGAGCCTTGGCCAGGAGCACAATCCCATCACTGGACTTGGCCGGCACCTTGTTGAGCACTGGATCCATTGTCCCGTTCGCTGTGGCAGCAAACTGCGCGGGTGTTCTTTTCAACTGGACAGGCTCCATCACCATTCTGCTCTACGCTGTAAGCGCGATTCTTCTTGTCGGCTTTGTTCTCCAGCAAGCGTTCTGCATCTTCACCGCATCCTCTGCTCCGCTGTTCCCGGCCCGGCTTCTTCGCAATACAATGGTCTTGATGCGCTCTCTTTTCGTTGCCGGCAGCGGCATCTTGGTATATCTGGCGCTCTACTATGTGCCCTTGTATTTCCAGCTCGCCAGAGGCGCCTCGGCCGTTGAGACCGCGAAGCACACCTTGCCTCTGCTCCTGCCCCTGGCTTTTGCTGTGTTTGCGAGCAGATGTCTTGTGGCAAACCCCGCGTGCTACAAGCTGTGGATGATCCTTGGCTCGGCGGTTGGCCTCATTGGAGCGGTTCTTATGAGTGAGTCCTCTCTTGTCCAGTCTTACCAGATCAATTTGCAAGAAAACCACTAAGACATTCACAATCCCAGGCATGATCCGCGTCGAAGCTCCCATGTCAGCAACCTACGGCTACCAGGCCATGCTCGGGCTCGGTGCTGGCTTCTTTGCTCAGGCAGCCTTCGCCGCCGCTCAAACCGAGGTTGACTCGGACAACGGAACCTCGGACGCCATCTTGATGCTCCTCGGTCAAATGAGCGGCCTCGGGCTCGGCCTGTCTGCAGCAGGAGCCATCTTTGTCAACACCGCCAAGAGTCGTCTTGCAGATGCCTTCCCGAACCTCGACGACATGGCCCGATCCTCGATGCTGGCGGGGACTCGCAGCGAGCTCTTCTCGAGCCTCGGGGAGAGAGACCAAGCTCTGGCTTCCGTGTGCATCGTGGCCGCGCTGCGCAAGGTCTTCATTGAAGCATACGTCGCCGCCACCTTGGCATCTGTTCTGAGTTTTCTGGCCAAGGTGAGTTGATTCCGTGTAGCCCCAAGTGAAATACCGGTGGTTCTAATGCGCGGCGCAGCTGGACAGGAAAGCTACCGTCAATCAGACTGATAACAGGGAGGTCAACCCTGTGAATGCCAGCAAGTGAGTCACTGGAATTCACAGGAGCGGAATATGTCTGTTTTTGAGGTCAACTACGTTGAAGGAAGAGACAATTGGAGCGAGTACCCGTCTTTGACTGAAAGCTACCATTCTTGATGAATATACTTGGCCTCGTTGCATCGGCTCATCAAGCCCAGTTCAAAAAGCATGACTGCAAAAGTGTAATGATTCCTCCTTGGTCCCCCGGCTACGTCTTCCTCCACAAACGCTCCAGCCCTGCCTGTCCCCAGCGGCTCTTCGTGTCGACAATCAAGCCATGTGCTGTTGCCGCTAGCAACACCAGCTGCCTCTCCGAAGATGTAGGACAGTGACTGCTTCTCACCAATCCTCCCACAACATCGGCGGCTCCAACACATCGGCTGCCGAGGCCCAGAGCATGGGATACTCGAGGCAGACGTAGTGCTAGGTGCTAGCATACCGGTACTTGCGGTCCCTGTGCCCCTCGGTGTTCTGCCCCTTGGCGCTTGCTGAGATGAAGTGGCGAGCGTCGTCGATAGCACGGCCCTGGTTGTACCGCTGGAAGTTTTCGTCGATCTGGCGAAGCACTTTCCCAAACGTTTCGCGGTACTCGAGAGCGAGGCTCCCTTTGCATCGCCACACGACGTTCTCGGCTTCTGCATTGAGGACGGGTCGGTCCATGACGTCTCTGAGGCCGACTACGCAGGACTTGTCCTCCGTCATGATCGAAACCGATAGGAAGAGGGGCCTTTCCTTGTCTGTCGACAAAGACGCGTCAGCTAGCGTGAATCATGTCCCAGTTCAGCTGGGGAAGACTTGTGCTGGGTGAGGGGAGAGGGGCGAGTTGGCCTAAGAGGCCCGCAAGTGAGGATTTTGTTATATGAAGTCAAGGCAAGGGTTATTTGTTGTAGAGCGGTTCTCCAGCGTTGTAAACTGTAAACTCTCGGACAATCCAAGGCAGCACAAAGATTCGGACTTACTCGGACCAAGAACGGCAACTGGGTTCCGGCTGCGGGCGACCAGGCCGTGCTCGAGGGCGGGATAGACATAAGGGTTGGAGGGCAGAGCTTCATGCTCCGACGACCAGCCGTGAAAGACTCTGCTGAGGAAGAGCTCGAGCACGGCGGGAGAGGGCTGGGCCTCCTCGTCGTGAGCCTGGAGGCAGGCCTCGGCGATGCGGTAGCACTCTCGGACCTGTTGGATGGAGAGCTGGCCGGGGTGGCGGACAGTGCGGCGGGCAGGAGGCTGGACAAGATTCTGGCTCAACCACTGCTCGAACTGCACCCGCTGCTCGGCCGTTGTCTCCATCATGAGCTGGAGCTTGTCAGTGTGCTTGCACCAGTAAACCTCTCGGCGCCTCGCGCCGTGCCTCCTTCTAGGCATGGCAACGCTATCTCGGTCTCTCGGGCACCTACAAGCCTCTAGACCTGGAAGGTAGGTGGACGGGTCGTGAAAAAAAATCTTTGGGCAAAGGTCAGAGAGGCCACCCTAACAAGGGTAAGCCCCGAGGCTCAGGACTGACATGAGGTCTCAGTGAACTCTTGGCTGGATTCTGCCAGGATACATGGCTATTCTTGAGAACTCTGAGCACCGTCGTTTGCGCTGTTCGCCAATCGCTGTTTGGATGGTCCAATAACTTGGTGAGAATGACAAAGTGAGAAGTGAGAAAGGAAGAAGAAATCGGGGCGCCTTAAAGAGATTTTCTCGCGGCCGATATATGCAATATTCCACCGCGCGTGCTTTTCTCGCGTATCAGGTGGCAGCATGTGGCTGTCTTGAGACGTGCCAGCTGCACGCGTCAGTTGAGGCGTTGGGAACTCGTTCTGAAAGACGACGCGACCGAAGTGCGGCCCTCCGTCCGGACTGTTGGCAGCGCAACGGGTTTTGCTATATGGTGGAGCTGGAGAACAGCCGGAAGTCCTGGTGGGAAACTCGAGCCCATGTTCGGTTAAAGACGAGGACATGAGAGGTTTCACGCCTATTGGGGCTACATATGTGGCCGTTTTATACTCCAGTGAGCAGGCTCTCATTGAACTCTTGCTGCCCTCGCCTTCATCCAGCATCTGCTCATCCTCAGCCCATAAGACTGACTGTGTGATTAGGGCCGTAGCCACTGGAAGCCATAGGTAAGACCGAACGGGAGTTTGATAATCTCGATACGCTACGAAATGTTGCCAGTCGACTCCGTTTAGCAATACGAGCCAAAAATAGGAACAAGGTATTATGCGCTGCCTCGAGATAATATTTGCCTACATGTATCCAACCAATTTTTCCGGCGGTAGGAACTGAAAAGGGCACCTCGGGTAGATAAACACTCGATGTCTTAAGATGAAGTGTAAACAGCTTTCAGTTTTACAAGATTCTTCTCCTGTTTGACAAGCTATAGGGTACGTGAGTGAGCATTTCAAAGTTGTGAGACTCGACAATGGCCGGAGTGAAGCGCGAAAGCGGTTGCACAAGGCACACGGCTGTACATCGTATATGCACAGATTCTACCTTCGGGCAACAACAGGACGTAAATGACGCGTTGCAGCCCGAGCGGCTGAAAGGCACCTGGCAAGTAGAAGTGACATGAGTCCGGCAACGAATCCAGCCATGTCACGCAGCTACCTTGGGTTGAAAGCAAGTTCCCGGAAGCTATCGGAATACATCCTTTTCTTCCTGTTCCATCCCGATGGGCTAACATCTTGCAGAAGGCCAGAGGTTCCGTCAAGCTCACGGTATGCAAGTCAAAGTCATGGCTTGGCAGGGGCAGCTGGCAACGCACGAAGCAACGTCCACTATTAATAGCCGACTATGGCCGACGCACGGAGAGCCCAGAGAGTGATTCATACTCTCAATTGCCTTGGCTGCTGTGCAGGGCTTGGCTGCTCGCTTGCTACATTCAACATCGTAGGAGAGTACGGTCAGCTTGAATGCGAAGCCATGAGAGCCCAGCGATATCGGGATTTCTTGGCACTGCACCCTGGCCCTTTTGTTGTACCGCCGCGATGCCAAGGATGCACCCCACGACTGAAGGCCGTGCTTGGGCACTCGACTGATGATACGTATTGACAATGAGTAGGAGCCGTGCACATGCAAGGTGCCTGAGCGTCGCCTTGCCGGGGCTCTCCTCGTGCTCCGGTGACGTGTATGTCACGTTGCCAGTTGATGACAGCATCCGTTTGCTGGGAATTCGACTGCTGCTGGAGCAAGCCGCCAGTCAAGAGCTCAATTATCCGTACTTTTAGACAAAAGTATAACATCATCTCGGCAGAGAAGCTTCCAGGTCAAAGACGACATTGCAGAGTCGCCCACGTTGGTGACATGCATCGTCAACTACAAAGTGCAGGCAGGCACTCATTCATATCAGCACAATGCCCATTAGCCCTGCCATTAATTATGTACGAGCCTGCATGGTTGAGCACGGCCGTCATTCATTGAAGTCCCCCTCCCCCAGCGCGGCCACGTTTTGCCTATCGAATCTTCAGCAACTTCCGGCCCCGCGGGCCGTGCGGGCCCGGGGTCAGCAGTGACGAAACGAAATTGAACGACCGGGATTCCCCTACGACTTTGAATGAGGCCCATTCATGCGCTGGGGTGGCTGGTGGGTGCCGCAAGGGCCAGTGGAGGGGTCTGGGGGACAGGGCTCTCGTCCGGCAACGTGGAAAGACGGGGCCAACGGAGACGATTATGATGAGTGTTTCTCCTTTATGCGGGCCTTGGTGTCAATTTCCACGCTCTAGACCTAATGAAGTTTGGATAGACTGGCCTTCTGGAAAGTTGGAAGAATTCCGTCTCCCTGCTAGGTTTCTCCTACGCCCTGAATATTGAAGAGCGACAGGCCTGGACTCGCAAGGACCAGAGGCGGCAGCGAGATTTCCCAGGTGGTTGACTGACTTCTCGGCTCAGACGCTCTCGCCGTCGCCGCAAACGAGGTAGACAGTTCTCTAGTCTCTTACTGCTCGTGTCCAGCATACTCCGTGGCCACGGCATAATGCCGGACGCCTTGCGTACCTGAGGCACGGCGAGGCCAAGAAATCCAGGTAACGTAGCGCCGATGCTTTGCCCCAGCTGGCATGTCATCTCTCGTCCCATCAATCCCTCTTGCTTGGCGCCCGCTTGACTCCATATCCCCAACAAGGTGCCGCAGGCACCTCGACTCGGTCCGGCGAGACGAGCGGTTCGAGCGGTTCAACATAATTTTAATAAAGACGAAAGAGACCCTCAAGATCGAGTCATCCTCAAGCCCTTGGCCCTTCAGCTCGACCTCTCGCCTTGCAGATCCGAACAGGGGTGGCCCCCGCAGCAAAGGGGATCCGAGCAGCCTTTGGCGAGTCTTGGCACCATCGTCACCACGAGCTGCCTCTGAAGCTGCCTCTGGAGCTGCCCAGCGGCAGGGCATCATCAGTCAGTCCCTTTGGAAGCCCCCGCGACCAAGCCCCCTCGAAGCACATTGGTGCTGTCGAGCAGCGCGTCGTGCTCTTTGATGGGCTCGCGAGCAGGGTACGAGGAGCTGCCGCCCAGGCTCTTTGTGGAGTTGCCATGTGTGCGGCGTGCCCACCGGCGACGGCGGAAGCCGTAACGCACATACCTCTTGTCCCCCTCATGCAACGTCCTCCCTCTACCGGAGCAACGACATCGATCTCAGCCGGCCACTTTTCTTATCTACTCTCTCGTGTTTCTTATCCCTTTCGTTCTTGTCGTCTTTCCTTGGCCTTGGATATGGATTACAAAACTCCTCGGGCGGCCCGGTCTGCCTATTCACCTCTCCGGTGGTGACGCCCCGAGCCCCCCCCGCATTCCCTTCCCTTCCCCGGTCTTCGAGAACCAAGGACACCGGTCCTCCAGGCTTCGAGTGCGTTGATTTTGGTCTCGCGGCGAGAATGAGATTCTACAGCGTGGTCGCGCCGTCGGCACTGCTGGCCTTGCAGACAACAGCCGTGGTGGCCCAGACGACGGCCCCCGTGCCCCCGGAGCAGTTGCCGCTCATGCCTGATTGTGGGGTATGCTGCCCTTTGTCCCGAGATGGTGATGCCTTCAGTCCGTTGTCAAGCCTTTGCGTCGATTCGGGTTGCGGTTTCATGCTGGAAATATGTTGACTGACTGAGTTACGCCCGCCCATCTAGATTAAATGTCTCCATTATGCCATGAGCCTGTCGCCATGCGGCGCAGACCTGGCATGCCAGTGCACCGATGATGCCCTGATAGAAACCATGACGGGCTGCGTCATGGCTAGCTGCACCATCAAAGAGACTCTTTGTATGTCGCCTCCTGGCCTCCATCCTTGACACGAGCTCCTCGCCACTCTTTCCGTCCATGAGAGGCGAGTCCTGGACTCTGGCTAACATTGTGCCCGGCAGTGACGCGAAACATCTCCGCCATGGCCTGTGGCGAGCCCGTTCGCGACAAGTCGCCCGGGTATGTGGCCGTGTCCAACTCGTTCGGCATCCTATCGTCTCTCTTCGTCATCCAGCGGTTCGCATACAAGCTGTGGGCCAAGCTCGAACTCGGACCCGACGACTGGCTCACGCTGGCGGCCATGGTCAGCAGCACGCCGAGCATCGTCTTCAACGCGCACGTTGTGGCGCCCAACGGCATGGGCCGCGACACCTGGACGCTGTCGTACGACAACATCACCGTCTTCTGCCGCTACTTCTTCATCATGGAGATCATCTACTTTGCCGACGTGGCCCTCGTCAAGCTCGCCCTGCTCTACTTTTACGTCCGCATCTTCCCCAGCACCGGCGTCCGCCACCTGCTGCTCGGCACCATTCTTTTTGTCGCCCTCTTTGGTACCACCTTCATCTTTGTCGCCATCTTTCAGTGCAAGCCCATCGACTACTACTGGTGGAAGTGGGACGGCGAGCACCAGGGCCAGTGTATGGATTTCAACGCCATTGCTTGGTCCAATGCGGCCATCAGCATCGTCATCGACGTCTGGATGCTGGCGATTCCCATGTGGCAGTTGAAGAACCTGAGGCTCGACTGGACAAAGAAGTTGGGGGTCGGTATGATGTTTTCCGTCGGCACCTTGTAAGTCCCTTCTTTTCACTCGGCTGTCCCTTTGTTCATTGTCCTGGTCGACTGACCCCTGTGGCGAAACAGCGTCACCGTCGTCAGCATCCTCCGCCTGCGAGCACTCAACTTCAGCGTCCACACAGCGAACCCAACGTGGGATTTTTTCGACGTCGGCATCTGGTCCACGGTCGAGATCAACGTCGGCATCATCTGCGTCTGCATGCCCTCCCTGCGACTGCTGCTGGTGCGCATCTGTCCGCGCCTGTCGCAGTCGGCACACCGATACTACGCCCATCACGAGGCGCCCGCCGGGGCATACAACCGCGCCGCCTCGAAGCAGCAGCCGTGCCAGACGGGCACGACGTCGCGGGTGGAGCGGTCGCACTTCCGGCCGCCTGTCAACGCCAACGGAATCAGCTACGAAACGTCGTACGAGGTGGAGTTTGGCGACAAGGACAAGGCCGACGACGAGCTGCAGCTTGTCATTATGCGCGACGCGGACGTGAAGAGCATGGCAAGCTCGAGGAGCGAGCGGTCGGTGAACCTGTGACTTTGTTTCTTCAGCCTCACGAGCCCAGGACTGTTTCTTCTTCTTTATTCTTCTTCTTCCAATGTCTTTTACCGTTCTTTCCTCTTATGAGGAGTACAGCTGCCAGCGTTCTTCTTTGTGGGTATAATTTGAAAGAGTCATGGTGCGCAGCGAGGGCACCAATGAACCACGCCTGACATGGCTTCTTACGCCATGACCGGACGTGGAGAGGCCCGAGGGTCTACGAATACTAGTAGATAGCAAAAGAGATTAATCTCCTAATACATAATGACGAAGCACGAACTACTACCTTCCTCAGAACTGACATGCCAGGGACTCGACCGTGCTTGGCCTCCTTTGCATCACCCCCCCGGGGTTGGAACCGGCCGAGTCCAGGGGAGTGATGAAAGACGACTTGCATCAAGCGGCCTCATAACCATAATCTCATCGACTGCAGTTTTCATGGAGGCCGAGACTCGGAAGTCCGGGCAAGAGGAGTCCGCCCGCGCCTTTCCTTCCTTCCTTCTCCTTTCCTTTCCGTCCGCTCATCAATCTTCTTTCTGCCGCACTTGGTCCTCGCAGCCTCAACTTCACCTCAACAGCCGAGAAGACAGCAGCCCCCAGCATTCGAGAGCTGCGCCGACTTCTGCTTTGCCCGCACCCGATCTGCTTCCCCGTCGAGCCGGACAGTCGTCCATCATGACCCAGCCCGCCGGCGCCCTGGCGGCCCACCCCGAGTCGCAAGGCACCCCGGCTCCCGACGCCGACCCCATCGAGCTCTCCCGCCTCGACGCCTCGGGCGCTCGCGCCTCTCCGTCGACTGAGCCCGAGCCGGGGCGGGTGTCCGCCTCCGCCCCGGGGCCCGTGGGCGGCGGGGAGGCTTCCGGATGCGCCGCCGAGCCTCCGCAGGTCTCCGCCCAAGGCCCAGCCGAGAGGTGGAACCAGCCGAGGGTCAACATCGGCAGGCTGGCTTTTGCCTATTACTCCTTCATCATTGCCGGGATGAATGAAGCCGCCGTCGGTGTATGTGAGCACGACGTCTGCTGGTGCATCCATCGGCGTCGCCAACCGTCACCGTTCGCTGGGCTGACCCGCGTCCATAGGCCTTGATCCCATCTGTAAGCCCTCGGCAGACTCCTCCCATGCCCCCTCTCCTGCACTATATGATGGCGCGGCTACAGCCGTCGGTCCTCCACGCTCAAAGGATGCGGTGAAGAAGCAGGGAAAGGAGGCATTCGCATCCCCGCTGATGGCCGCTTCGTTACGCAGCTCGAACACCACTACAAAGGCCGCAGCAACGTCGACGTGTCATGGTTCTTCCTCACCCCTGCCGTTGGCTACTTGGCAGCCGCCCTCGCCAATGCCCCCATCCACCGCCAATTAGGCCATCGCGGCGTCGCCGTCGGGGGGCCTTTTTTCCACCTCGCGACCTTCGCTTGCTTCGCCTACAAGGGCGCCCAACTGCCGGCCCCTGCTGTCATTGCCATCAATGCCTTGAGTGGTTTTGGCAACGGGCTGACTGAAGCCTGCTTCAACGCCTGGGTTGCTGGCATGGACAAGGCCGGCATCGTCCAGGGGTTAATGTATTCCTGCTACTCGCTCGGCGCCTTCTTCTCATCCCTCGCCGTCGCGTTCATGGTCGTCGAGGTCGACAAGGCTTGGCTCAACTACTACTACGTCGTGGTGAGCCGCTGTCGCTTTTCCTTTACCCTTGTGGCCTCGCTAACGATGGGGTCTCCCTGGACGGCGACAACTTATTAGTCGGGCATGGCATTAATCGAGTTGTTTGGCCTCACGGTCGTCTTCTGGAACAAGGATGGCCCCGGTTACCGAGCTGAGCATGCCCACGAAGGCGGCACGCGTAAGGCGCTTAGGTCCGTGGTGACATGGCTATGCGCGCTCTTCTTATTCGTCTGCATGGCCGCCGAGGGTACGACTCGCTGAAAGATGGCTCTCTCTCCTTAGGCAGTGGCATGGCATGAGAGATGCTTGCTGACTTGCCCTGTTCTCTCAGCTGGCCTTGGCGGCTGGGTCGTCACGTTCAGGCTGGACGTCTCCTCCGCCTCTCCCTTGGCACCTGCCATTGCCAACTCCAGCATGTGGGCCACCATGGCCCTGGGCCGCGCCCTTTTTGGCGTTGCCACGCGCGGCTTTGAGGGGCGACGCCGCCTGACTATATGCCTTGCCACTTGCCTCGCCATCTGCGTCGGCTTCGAGCTGCTCTTCTAGCTGAAGCCCCAATTCGATGTCTCCGCCGCCACCGTCGCCTTCCTCGGCTTCTTCCTCGGCCCCGTGTACCCCGGCGCCGTCATGCTTGCGACCAAACTGCTGCCTAAGAGAATACGCATGAGCGCCATAGGCTTTGCGGTGGCCATGGGCGGGATTGGCGGCACCGTGATCCCCTTCATCATTGGCGCAGTCGGGGCCAGGCAAGGCGAGCGGGTGCTGCATCCGGTCGTTCTATCGCTCACTAGCATCATGCTGGTCGTCGGGTTGGTCTTCTCCTTGGTCAAGGAAAGGGATTGATAAGGAGTTTGCCACCATGCATCGAGTCTTGGAGGGACAGGGCTAAAACATGATAGATACATCATCCTTCTTTCGACATTGCGAGGTTGCTGTAGGACCAGCACTTTGTCTCCGATAGAAGTCACGCTTAGAGGGATCAGCAGATCATTTAGTACTGAAGAAGCAAAGCACATGGCCGTTCACATCCGAACCCACATGGCAGCGGATGGCATCAGAGTAGGGATGGTGGGTTTTCAGACCAATTGGCATCTGGAGTGGTGGAGATTGCGTCCGATGCAGGACCTCAGGTTGACTTGAAATGACGTGTATACTGCTATTTGCCGTATGCAGGGGCGAAACTGTCAGTCTTTCCGAGCGCATATTATTCTATGTCCTGGTGTTTGTTTCCCTAAATCAGGGCATGGCATGGAAGACATGTCCGTAGCCACAGTTGCGGCATTGCTTGTCAGACTCCTCAAGATAGGAGGAGCATCGTGCAACACTGTCCCTTGTTAATATTTTTTTTCTTAGTTCCAACCTCTGAACAGATGTTCTGCGGACCAACAATAAAGGATGTTGTTGTGACCTTGTTCTCAGCTCAAGACCTGAAGACCGTCCGGGACGAGTCCAGGACTCGGCGACTGTCGCCGTTCAATACCAAGTTAACTTGTGTGTCGCCGCGAGCCACAAGTCTAGCAGACGTGGCTGCGTTAGAACCACGAGCTGGTTCGAGATTAAACTCTGCCAGAACTCGGTGCGAGATGCGCCAGAACCGGTATCGCGGCTATGCTTTGCTCCCAAGGCTGTGCGTGAGTACAGCATAGAAGATGTCTGTCGTAAGCTCAATCTCAGCTCAGGCTTTCTTATACAATGTCCTGTCTCCTCTGCAATCCGCTGGCTTCATGCTTCAATGTCTTCCTCTACCTCTTTGACCATATCATCATTCAACATCCCCAAACCACCTCTGCCACGTCCATATTGCCAACGAGATCATCCAGCATGGAGTTGTTGCCCACCGAACTGGTCGATGAGATCTTGTCTTACTTACCGATGCCGAAAATAGGAAATCTGCTACAATGTAGCAAAACTGTCTGCCGCCTTGTTCAACCGGAGCTGCGTTGATGGAAAGAGAATTCTTCCAGAGCCATGCGCTGGGCCTGCATATGCTATCAAAACGATGAGATCAAATGCGCCGATCCCGGTAAGGACGTCCCCACCACGCATCAGCTCTCGGCAAGTCAGTCTAACGGAAGGAAAACCACAGAGAAGGCGGTATCGACTCTCTATCTGGCCACTGAACGGAAGTCCCCGAACTTTTTCAGAATCCTGCTGAAGTATGCCGCCAAAATCGACAGAGTCCCGCCGGACTGGCTGAAGCTCCATCTAGAGAAGCTCATGCAAACCCTCTCGACACCAGAAAATCTCGATATTCTGCAAATATTCCTGGAGCAAGGCCGTGACATGCAGGCCGGAGCTCGGAATAGCTCCGAAGTCGTTGTGCAGCTTTTACTACACCACGGCATCGACCCGGCTCAGCTCGCTCTGGGAGACGGACCTGATCATATTTCGCCCCTTTCTGCTGCGATGCTGGCAGATTGGCCCTTGGCTTCGAAGGTACTGGCTAAGAGAGAAGCGAGATTTCCGGGGAGCGGAAACTTTTCCCCTATCCGGAAACCAACTCATATTCCCATTTTTGCTGCTGCAGAGGCGATGGGCAAGGCGCCAGGGGACGGCTACGGAGCGATGAAGCTCTGCGTCGAAAGCGGATGCGACATAAACCAGCGCTCAGTAGCATGGAGATCTTGGGGCAAGTTTCATCACAATTGCTGCCCACAGTATACCATGCCACTTCTTTTCTACCTCGGTTCCATTAGCTCCTGGGCAAGCGATCAGATTCCTTCCATTCTTGACTGCACGACTTTTATGCTTGAGAAGGGCGCCGACAAACCAAGAATCCACAACCTCTCTCCTGAACACCTTCCTCATGAGCTGGTATATTTATTCCCATTATGGTCCGAATATCCGACGCTTCGGTGCATCGAGCTGCTCATCGACAAATGGGGCTTGGGGTCATTGGCAGACGATGGCTTCTTCTCCGTCATCCAGTTGTTGGTTCAACGCTGCATGGCGGAGAAATATTGCTGGGCAGAAACATTTCTACCCAGGTACGACCATGTGTTTGACCCCCACAGGTCGAGCGCCGAGCCTGCGATATCAGGGTGGCGGCGACTTTTGGAGTTGATCCTGTCTGACTTTCGCCCCCGGCGCCTCGACAATTTACTCTGCCAGGTCATCAAGCATAAATTGCGGACCGAGCGCCACAGCTGTCATGTTGCAGGCCTCGGCCCCCTATTTTTCACCACTGTCGATTTCCTTGCTGACCTTGGCGCAACCGTGGATGCACACTTGATGTTGTCAGGTTACAAGGCGCTGGACCTGTTATGCTATAGTAAACCAGGTGAATATGGATCGGACAACGAACGCTTCCTTTACCGGGTGGTTATTGAGCAGAGGCGAGAGCTCCTCTTTCTTCTCCTAAATGAGCCAGACGAGACCGGAAAGCCGCGGAGACGGGCGATTGACCGCGTCAGGACAGCGCGTCCAACAGAGTGGAAAACGGAGATTATAGCAAGGCTGTCGATGTATAAGGTGTCGACGTGATTGAGGCAGCAGAAAAGACATTCGAGGTCGTTCAGGATTCTTTGTAATCGACATAAGATGGGCGGCTGCAGTGCAAAGCAAGATAGGGCTGTTCTTCTGGTTAGTATTACGGTAGACCAACCAACACATGGCCATGAAGTTTGCAGCCCATGCCGACTTACAAGCTCTTTCATTTCAGGTAGTCAACGAGGGAGAGCAAGAGAAATAAGTCAGGGGCTGCCGCACGTCTACAGACCATTATCGCCATACAGAGAGGTCACTCTTTCAAGGCCAACGGCATGTGCCCAGGAAGGACGATGAATGAAAAGCATATAAAAATAGGAAGTATGAACTCCTATATGTATCAAATCATCTACTTGTGAATAACGAGTGAGAAAGTGCAACGGGCTAGAACATGGACCCTGTCGATGCTTCATATTACGACTTTATTGAACATGAGTCTCTACTCGAGAGACCTCGTATCTTGATACACTTGGGTTCACTTGACCCTGTATGGTGAACAGGTGCTGCTTCTTTCATTGCCATCTCAGCCATAGATCATCTAGTCACATTTCCAATGGTGTCGAGATTCAGGTCCTTTTACGGCCACAAAGAATCACAAAATGCCTCGACGACGGCCGACGCAAGCAGCGTCATCCGTAGACTCTGGAGCATTTGCGAAGATAAAAAGTCCAGTTTTCGCTACTGCCATCTCCAGCTTGGCATAGTCTTGCATCTTAGCTTACGTACATGTTGACTGATGAATGGTTTGGCCATCTTTGTCTAGGACTGAACACCGCCCGCATGCCACCAGTACCGAGCCTGCTTACGAGTTGCTCCACGGATCTTGTGCGAGCTGCTTTACCGTATCTCTGTCCTCCGTGCGCCATTACAGCATCCCTCTGACGAGATTCAGGAACCCTTGTTTGTTCTTATTCCCGAGGAATACCTCACAGCTTTTGAGCTTATGTCGAACGGTATCTTCACGTTACTGGCCGCGATTGTGTATGGCGCATATGGTACGTTGTCATAAAGGTGCTTGGTTAAAAATGTCACGAGGCAAGCCGCCAGTTACACCTTAATGGCACCTCATCCCCATCCGATCAATTAATGGGTAGGTACAGCGGCATTTGGCCAGAGCGATGTATGAAAAGGCGCCGGACCACGAACCCAGTACATGACGAGACGGCCCGTAGTAGAGCAGGAAACAACAGCTAATACACTTGTTGTAGAAGCTCCAGTGTTATCTGAAGAAGGTAGCGAAAATGTCAAATGCCTGGGGTGCATCGGTTGCGCGAGGAGCCAAGCACACTTCCGCACTACATCCCTATGCACCAAGATCATGGCAATATACACGCTCGACACCTGACTTGCTGCCTGTATCTTCGCCGTCACAGCCAAAAATTATACATCATCTGGAAGTCCATCCAACACCGGTCGACATGTGTGTCCTTTACAGTTCTTACCTTGGAGATTAAGGCTAAGAATCCCTCGACTTTCTAGAAGGATGCGAGGGTCAAAGATCTACACATAGCAGCAACTTCTTCTCAGAATAAAATGTAAAAAACGCAACTTTGTGGGTTTACCAAGACACCTCTCCGACCCTCCCGTTATAACAATTGTTCAGACTTGGGGATTACGGCTTTCGGTCAGAGACCCCGCCGACGAAAGAAGATGACCCTTGACTAACCGGCAGACGGCCCTGCCTGCCCGGCCGACCGAAAGTGATGCTCGACTACGATGGTGGCTGAAGGACCTCGACCAGCCACTGTTACGCAATCATGACCCCGATATCGTAGGAATCTCCGTGGACGCTCTCGTCTACCAAATTGGGGAGGCCGCTCGTGCCATAGGTAAAGTTAGGTCTTGGGTGGAAAGATAAATGTGCCGATAATAACGATTTTGTTTCACATTTCCAACACAAGACCAAGCAAAGCCCCGGGATGTCGACTTTCTTTCCCTAGTGTTGAGACCACATAGCAGCGCCTGTAGTCTGCAGCCCCCTTTCCTGTCAATCTGGACACCATCGATCCATGCTCAGAATCTGATGTACATCAGATATGTCGTCCACAAGATTAACCGCCTCTTAATAAAGATCACTCCAGATCTTTTCCAACCGCAATATTTCGGCCGTCTAATTGATAACCGGAATGCTTCAGCCGGTACAGAGCATGCTGGTAGCGGCTCGAAGTGTCTCACGTTAGAGAGACCTGCCTGAACTAGCGGTGGCAGCCCCTGGTAAAGGCCGTCGCCGAAGCTGTTAGCTGGCCTGTCTACTCTGTTCGCTGATGTATTATTACTACCGGCGCTGATGGGGACTTCTGCTGCGTTCAAAGCTCGGACAGCGGCGATAGCAGTATCGTACGCAGGATGACGGGTTCTCCGTTCGTGTTTATGCACGGGGGAGAAACGACAAAGTTTGAACGACAGCGACCTTATTTTCCAGGCTAACCTATCTATAATTCCAGTTTCCAATTCGCCGTCGATAGGGACCGGCTTTAGGATGTCGCAACCGGCAGACTGCGCCCGGCGATAGCTGTCCACGTAGACGCGTGGGCCATGACAAGCTTGCCGTATCGGTGAGCAGCTTTACCAAGGCAAGGAGGGTCTGATCATGGAGGCCCTGTGGATCCGCGGTTTCTCAAAGAAGTCGCTTTGACTGGGGCCCTGCACTCACGTCTGCATCTGCGAGGCGCTCGTGACCCATGATCATTCCGGATGAAGTTTCAAGGTAAACGTAGCCCGAGTACATAACGTGTTGCCCTCGAAGACGCCAGCATTTTAGCTCGAGACCACCGGCATCGCAAGGAGCTTCGTGACCGTCACTACCTAGTTTTCGAATAGCACTCGGTTCATGCGGCCACAAGTTTATAGGGACAGCGCACTTTTTCGTCACCGCAAACCGAGGCCCCCACTTCATTGCTGTGAATAATAACTCGATTTTAGGCGCTTAGTCGAGGATAGAGAGTAGCGAGAAAAAATAGCTATATACGCTAGAATGATAATCCAGATGACGAGTAAACCGGATACGGCCATAGCCTCGATAGAGAAACTCATAGGCTGGGTAGAAAGGGCGTAGACAACCATTACATTACCCCGGCACAACTCGCCCGTTCAAACCCAAGACTTTGTAGTCGAAGACTCGATATAATTCGAGGCCACTTCCGTCTGTAGCTAGCCTAATCAATACCTGACGTTTCCTAAAAGTCGAAGGGCGGAGCCTTAGAATCCTTGCTGCATCCAAAAACAAACTGCTTATTCTTCTCGGTCAAGACAACCTCATTCCCATCCGGATCCTTGACAGTCATTGAAAATGCGGCACATGTCTGCGCATTTACATACAACAATCTAAAGGGGATATACGCTCCAGCTTTCTCGACCTGGTAGGTGAGTGGGGTTCTTTGAGGTTGTCCGTAAAACTTGGTAATATCCGCATTGTGGCTGTTGAATCCGTCTTTGGCGAACTTGCCAAACCAAATATAAGCAGCATCATCCGCCTCGAGGACGTTGAATGTATAGGTGCCCTTCTTGCTCGGGTGAAAGTAGGCAATGTGCTGGAGCACGATGTTTTCCAGGGAGGGGACATTCTTGTCATAGATAATGGACGGGTTGGTGCACGTCGAGTCGGACTTGACTATTCCAAATTTCTTCGTTGTCCCACTGATAAATGGCTTCTGTCCCTTGAGGAAAGTCTGAACGCTGAAGGTGTCCGAGTACCAGTTTGGGTTTCCATCATTGTAGGGAACGCCGCCGGGCGTTGTCGTTGTCATGTCGGATATTGCCCGTTTTGCCTTGGCGCCTTTATAAAACGCCCATTGTATGCCAACTTTACAGGTGTCCGGCTTGCAGGGCCCGCCAACACAGCATTTTTGTCGTTTGTGGATGCACTTTCCATAGCACGAGACCTTGCCATTGCGGCAGCATGATTCCTTAGAGGGAATACATTTGGTGTCACATTTCTTTCGGCCAAGAGGACACGGCCGATGATGAGTTAGGGTGGGGGCGGCAGGGTATCCCGTCTCAGATTCCTGAGGCGGAGTAGAGCTAGAGTCGTCGTAGTCACCAGACGGGTGGTTCTTAGACACCGGCGTAGAGTCTTGAGCAGTGTCTACTTGACCAGATTCTTCAACTGCGTACTTCGCAGAAGCGTCAGGACCGTTGACCGCAATGGCAAGCCCATTTCTTGCAAGGAAAGCCGCGGCTATAATGTAAAACTTCATTTTGGAGAAGAAACCTGGGGCTTACGGGCCGGGCAAGATCAAGGGTGACTCAAGTCGGGGTTTTTGTTGCCCTGCAGCTTGATAGGGAGCAAAGTACGGGTTTGATAGCGAACTGGGGAGGTCTTATGGTTTGACGGTGGGACAGAACATCACCCCTTGCCTAATATGAATCCGTCGACTTGTTCTGAGAGTTTCGAGAGTAGTGTTGTTTACTGGAATGGTTCTGCTTTCGGCGCAGCTGTGACTCGAACGCCGCCTCCTAAAGTCGAGTCCTGGGGAAGTTGACTCACCCTGATCTCACAGTGTGCTAAAGAGGATAGCGGTCACATTCTTGTGGGTATAAACCAGTTGCCAAGTCTTGGACACAACACCTTCATATTAACATCACTGCGCCCTGTGAGCAAACAGGTATGAAGCCCAAAATTAAATTGCCCCAGGGGTCTTATCTACGACATCCTCAAGACCAGTCAGTGGTATGTCCGTCGCCTTTTCTCAACACGGACTTTGTTTCACAGAAAGACGTGGAGGACTGAGGCCAAGGCCTCGCGCCTCCCCTCTTTCTCAGTCCCGCTCTTGACTTAACCTGGCAACAAAATTCGGGCAGGGGTCGCTTAGACGTCTTAGAAAGGCAGAACTGCCCACAAAGAGGTTTTTGTTTCCATTCAGGGCATCGTGGCGAGAAAACTGCGATGCCAGCTCATTCTCAGCAACGGTGCCCAGGCCAGTTTCCAAAAGGCCATGTGAGCTCCAGAATCTTAGGGTAGCGGTCATTATGGCGCCCTGGCAGCTTGACCCTAGAGACTAGTGCGAACGAACCAAGGTAGTAAGCTCATTCTCAGTTCTCCCAGGGCAGGAACCGACTTTCTTTTGTAGCATTTCAACCAATTTAACCTCTGAGACAAGGTAGATAGCCTACCTAGGCACTGGCGTTGCCCTCTATGAGGCGGCAAACATTTATCATTGGGCCCCTGATTTAATAGCGGGCCGCCGTGCTCTAAAACTTCAGTCATATGATTGGCCAACACCCCATCCCGCCTTTCGTTGGTGAGACATGGTAAGGACGAGGGATGCCCGATGCTCGGAATTATAAATTCGCAAGCTTTTCCCGGTCCATCATTGGCCAGGTGTAGTTCTGAAAGAGTGGAAAATATCTTATTGTCATGAATATCCGGGTTTTCTTCAAAAAGGAGCTGTCCCACCAACTGGGTGACAAAAAAGGAGGCCCGCAAATAAGCCCCCCCGCCGTATGTCACCACTAGAACTCCCCGACCAGCCCACTGTGACAATGATTGTGTCCTTTCAGGCGGCGATACAGAGGAGATGGCGGCTCTTCGGCACCAGCCGACTAGCCCGACTGATCGCCAAGACCGCCCGGCCCGCGCAGTGCGACACCTGTTGGGATTATCACTCCCGCTACGCCTGCGACCGAAAACAAGCCTGCCGACGATGCGGCGGGAAAGACCATCGCGATAACGACTGCAAGCAGCCGGAGAGGTGCGCGAACTGTTCCGGGCCCTTCCCGGCAGACCATAAGGAGTGCCCTGCCAGACCTAGGCGCTCTCACGGCCAACTCGTGCGGCTCTCCAAGATCGAGAAGTACGCCGTAAGGAAGATCGGCTCTCAGCTATACCGGCAAGCCAATATGGAGCTCGAACGGGCCACGGCGACCGCCTCCCCAACCCTCCCAAGGACCGACCCCATCGCCCTGCATGAGAGCTGCCGAGGCCCGCCTAGGCAAGCAACAGGACCAGCAGCAGCAACAGCAGCAGCAACAGCAGCAGCAATGTCGACCCCAGCGGCTGTCCCCCACCAGCGCGCAGGCGCCAGACTCCACAACGCTCCCTCCACCACAGGAAGACAGATCCGAGTCTCCTATGAAGAGGCGCCGACGAAACGTATCCCTGGACCCCTATGAACAATAGGCCCCCAACACTAACAACTCGCGACAGGAGGACGATCCGAGTTCTCCAGGCCAACGTGGCCAAAATAGGGGCCTATCATAGCATAGCCCTACGACTAGCGGAAGCAGAAAACTACGACGTCGTGCTCATCCAGGAACCGAACGTTTGGATAGAAAAAGAAGGCGGAGCCTGCAGGACCCAGACGCACCGCTCCTTCCACGCATTCGCCCCAGAACGCGCCTGGGAACCGGATCAGGCCCCGAGTGATCTCGTATGTCCGGAACCACCCAGATATACGGGCAGAGCAACTCTGCCCCGCCCCTACGCGTGATATCCTGTGGCTCCGGGTAAACAGCACCCTTATTATCAACTTCTATCGACACGCGAAGACACCCGAGCCACTCGACTACCTCCTCCACCAGCAGGACGTCCCCGAGAGATGCCTCATCGCGGGCGACTTCAACGCCTGTCATTTCTCCTGGCAGCCTGGAGCCCGGAGTGCGAGGAACGGAAGGACATCGCCCAGTGGGCGGCCGACAAGGGCTCGGACTGCTCACCACGCCAGGCGAGGCCACACACGCCCGCGGAAATACCATTGATCTAGCCTTGCCAATATCCCTCTGCGGACGCGCTTATCGAAGAGCACCTTCATACCGGCTCGGACCATTACACGATCAGCATTACGCTCCCGGCGGATTCCCCAAGGACGATAGCTAGACCAAGGGTAAGCTCCGAGGAAGAAATGAAGCGATTCGAGGAACTTGTGCGGGCTGGGGCCACAGCACTACCCCGGCTGGCCGTTGAGCCCAGAGGCCTGGAGAGGCTGGCCGAGGCGCTGTCTCGCCTACTCCAAGAGGCGGCCGACGCAGCGGGCCGACGGCCCAGGAAGAACGCGAGAGGCACCCCATGGTGGAACGATCAGTGCGCGGTGCAGCGGCCGAACTAAGAGCTATGCGGCGGATCTACCCCACAGGGCACGGCAGAGAGGTCCAGACTGCCCGGCGGGAGCTGCGCCGGGCGGTACGGCGGGCTAAGAGACATTTCTGGCAGACTGTTCTAGAAGGCGCCGAGAGCAACCAGGATATCTATAAGATCATGCGGTGGTCGAGGAAACCGAGCCCGTCCCGGCCCCCGCCTATACAGGTAGGCGACCAGGTCTTCGAGACCCAGACGGAAAAGGCAAACGCGCTCCGAGTCGAGATCCTAGAAAGGCGCGGGGCCGCGGACGACATCCCGGACCCCTGGGCCCCAGAGGTGCTGGCCCCAGGAGGACTCTCGACTGCAGCGTCACGCTCGCGGATGCGGCATGCGCCTGCACCTCTACGGGCAACACCTCCCGGGGATCGACGGCATCACGGTCCGAATGATCCGTCGCGTCTGGATCCCCATCGGCAAGGCGGGGAGGAACTATATGAAGGCTGCCTACACGTGGGCTACCACCCCGCCTGTTTCCGCGCAGCAGAGGTCGTAATGATCCCTAAGCCTGGCAAGAGGGACCTGTCTATTCCGAGAGGCTGGAGGCCGATTTCTCTCCTAGCTTGCCTCGGCAAGGGACTCGAACGCCTAATAGCCCGGCGCCAGCCTGGGCTGCGATCACACAACGAGTCATCCACAGCCAGCATGCGGGTGCCCTGCCCAAACGTTCAGCGCTCGACCTAGCGCTAGCATTGCTCCACGACGCGGAGACGGCCCTCACCGAGGGGAAAGTCGCCACGCTAATCACGATGGATATACAGGGCGCCTTTGACACGGTTCTGCGGAACCGGCTCCTCCTACGCCTACGGGAACAGGGCTGGCCAACAAACCTGGTCCGGTGGGCAGGCTGCTTTATGGAGCAGAGATCGGCCAGAATACGGCTCGAGGATATAACGACGCCGACAACCCCCCTGACGTGCGGGCTGCCACAGGGCTCCCCGGCCTCCCGATTCTCTTCCTCCTCTATACAGTGCCCATCTACTCGACAGGGGAACCGAACTCGCGCTTCGGCTACGCAGATGACGTGGCCACCCTGATCCGGGGCCGGTCCTACAGGAGACGGCCGCCCGGGCCACGCGCGCCGCGGGTGAGCTCATCCAGTGGGGAGCCGATAATGGCGTAGTGTTCGACCCGGGCAAGACAGAAGTCATCCACTTCACGAGACCGAGATACAAAGGGGACCTGCCGTCGGTCTGGCACGGGTCCGTAGAAAAGGAGCCACAGCAGGACCTGCGCTGGCTCGGCGTCTGGTACGACAGAAAGCTCTCATTCCGCACGCATGTGGAGAAGTGGGCCGCGAAGGCGATGACGGCCGCAGGGTTCCTCCAGAACCTCTCAAACACCCGGCGCGGAATCCCTCCCCGGTCGACACGGCATGCGGTCACGGCCTGCGTCCTCCCGATCCTTTATACGGCGCCCATGTATGGTACCCGGGGGCGCTTCGGCCTGTGTGGGGGACTGCCCGCTTAGTTCCGTCGCGGATCACCTACCTGAAGAATAGGATCCAGCTGACCTTAAACGTCGCAATGCGCGCTATCGCGCCCGTCTGGTGTACCATGCCGATTGTGGCCCTCCACCGAGAGACCGGCATCCCCCCTGCCACGCTGCTCCTCGCAGACGCCCAGAGACGCGCCGCGGTCCGTCTACGCTCCTAGATGAGCGGCACCCCTGACCCCGTATGAGCATCCTCCCAACGCCTGGCCGGGAGCTAATGAAGAGGCACGGTATGCGGCCCCTCGCGCGGCCCAGAAGCAGCACGCCTCGAGACTCCTGCGTCTTCACCAAATGACGGCCCATGCTCCGAGGCCCCGACTTCTCCCCCCAGCACCCCCTCAGCCCGACCCGACAGGGGGCGTAGACAAAACGCAGGCGGCTCGAGACTTCCACTCGTGGCTCCGGGTATGCCCTGAAGATACCCTCATCGTCTACACTGACGGCTCGCAGAGCGAAGACGGCGCCTGCGGGTATGGGTACTCAGTGTGGCTAGGCCCCAGCGAAGTGACCTACGGCAGCGGTCGGGTCCTACTCGCTGAGGTCTACGACGCAGAGGTGGAAGGCGCCCTCGAGGGGCTTCGAGCGGCACTCACGTGGTCCCCCAGAACCCCGGACCAGCAGTGGCCGATAGTCGTCTGCCTTGATAACACTGCGGCTATAAGAGCCATACGAGGCAGCCCATCGATCTCGTCGCAAGCGGCTGCGGAGAAGTTCGCTGAGGCCGCGGCTCGACACGGAGATGTCAGCACGCGTTGGTGCCCCGGCCATACGGGGATCGCCGGCAACGAGCGGGCCGACCAGCTAGCAAAGGAGGGCTGCCGGGCCGAGGGTCCGGACAGATCGCCGACCTACGCGAACATCAAGAGACAGGCCAAGGCTGCGGCCAGGCGCGACTTCCAGGACTGGTGGGCCGCGGGGCCCTGAGCAGCTACAAGAGCCTAGAGCTCAAGGCCTCGCTCGGGTGCCCCCGAGCTGCACACCAAACGAGAGCACCTCCATCACCTGCTCGCTGCGAGGAGCGGGCACGGGGACTTCGCCGACTACCACGAGAGGTTTAACCACGAAGAGGCCCGGATCGAATGCTCTTGCGGGAGGAGAAAATCACCGACACACCCCTTCTACTGCCGGAAGGTAGGTACTCGACACCGCCTAAGGCTAGCCCCCACGGCGGGCAAGGCTATCAACCAGGCACTAGGAAGGGGATTTGACCGGTTCCTCGGGCTAGTAACGGAGGCAGAATTCTTTGATCGGATCTGCCACCGCCACTAGCTCGAGGCAACCCTCCAACCTAATATGTACAACTCTCTTTTCTATGTTTTCTGCCCGTAGGCTCCCTGTGGGCCTACGGCCCAGCTGACTGCGTGGGCTTTCTCAGTCACCCGGCTCTGACCGAAGACTGACTAATATTACGGCTTCGCCGCCGTGCCCGGAACCCGCTGACGGGGGAAGGGACCTGAGAATCCGAGCGGCCACAGAGTCCAAGAATTGCTAGATAGGGGAGTAGAAGTAAGGAACGCGCGACGGGTCTCCGACGAGCATCCCCATCTTGTACTATACCTAGCCTAGCACGTCTTTTGCCCTTATAGGGATGTCCCAGACGGTAATCAATACTACTACTACTACTACCACTAGAACTCCGAGGGAGCCGCTTTTCGAAGCTGGCATTTTCTGAACTACGTACGCTCTCTACGCCCGTGGTAGTATAGTGAGCTTTCTCCGTTGTTATATCTTTTCTTAAAACCTCGTTAGCTTAAAGCGTGATTTACGGTCTAGATATCTTTCTTTCCCACCCCTTATCAACTTCACTCTCTCACACCCTTGTTCGTAAATATTACTGTCTTATTGTGACAAAAAGCGCGACTTAATGCAGTATCTGCGAAGCTAGTTACAGCAGAGACACCATTTACAAGATCTATCGAGAGATGGGGGCCTAGGCAAAGCTTCATATCAGATGAAGGATAACTAACATTCGTCTTTGAGAAAGCGCTCATTAAAACATCAACTAATCAAAAGAGGCGATGAAAGACAAAGCCATTGCATTCGAACATCTTTTCCTTTAGACTCCTGGTAGAGTAAAGCCACTAGCCTTGGGCCAGGTGCCCATCTTACCGGGATCACCTCCAATTCGAGATAAAAATGCCAATGGCGGGGATTACACCATCTAGGACGAAGAACTGGTACCAGAACGGCGGGAAGATATTTTTGTTCGGTGTCGCGGTTACTTTACACGTCTTCCCTGAGCACGAGACTTTCGAGAAGATGGTGCATGCGCCCATTGAGTTACCGTGGGTGCTAGACACGGAGCCTGGGAGCGAGACCTTTATGTCCCCGTTTTATGCTGCTTCATTGAGTTTAAAGAAAATAATATCGTTATACAACCATTAAACATTGTGTACCTCGAATTTAGGGCGCAGCTTGCTCTAAGAAGATACGGCGGCGTAAATATCTCGACGCGATACTTCTAGGAATTAACCTTATCCTCAGTTTCAGAGCCAGAGACTAATACCCGACCATTGATGAGGTTGATTGACTCAGAATGATATAGATGAGCTATTATTGTATTCGCCATAATAGTCATCCGCCAGGCAATAGGCGTAGCCGGGCTGTAAAGGACTGCATTGAGGTTAAGGCTGCTATCGTTATTAAAGTCGGTAAAGCCACGACGAGCTTCATTCATAATAATATATATGCCATCAGGTAGAGAGGCGATATAGGGCATAATGCGTTGAGAAGGCATATGCTCAATCGTCCACTCAAAATTAGGAGCATCCGAGTGGATGTTGTTTAGCGCGTTGCCGGTTATTAGGCCAGGCCCTCCGCAGATGATAATACTAATATGGTCCTTATATGGCACGTGTTGAGGAATTACAAGGGTCGTGCCTTGCAACGAATACATAAGGCCTCCCCCCGGGTTATTGACAGCGCCAGGGATCTTCTCAAAGGTCCTAGTCGCAGCGAATGTCTTCACGTTAAAGATACGGGCCTGGGTCCAATACGCAATAAAGATGCCTCCAGGGGGGAGGATGGCTAGAAAGGGGTAAACGTTTAAGGGTCATCGAGTTCTAGCCAATCCATATATAGAGGCTTGATCCCGGTTGGCGGTAGAAATTCGAGGGTTTTAACGGGTTTGCCTCCCATTTCTCCGCTAACGACAAGGACAGAACCGGTAGCCATATTCATAGCCGAGGTATACCAGCGGCCATCCTGAAGTTTAAAAGTCTTGCTGTCCCCTTGCCAGTCGTTCTTGGACGCCGTCCAGCATATAAAAGCGGACATCATAGGAGTGAACGCCCCCATTACCCCCGATGCTTAGCTTCCGTCCTGCCTTATCCGGTAGGGTTACGCCTGCAGAACAGAAGAGAGTCACAGGCCCCGCCGATAAGGAATTGATAGAATCCAGCCTCAGGAGAACCCCTGGTGGTACCAATCACCGACCCTGCATGCCAGGTTGATGGTCGGCGATGCGATCGCGCCGACCGCCCAGATGGCTGCCAGTACCCAAGCTCTCGAACTTTACCACGGATGTGAGAAAGGGGGGTTTGAACAACTGGGCCAAGTAATCTTTGTAGGTAAGAGATTGAGTGGCAGTGAGGAAGACAAGCCAAATGAATCCAGCATCTTTATACTTGCTGAGCCGTCGCAGTCGAGCACACCAGGAAACCATTCGAGAGGCGATCTACGCTCTAGTTAGAGACAGTTTTAGATTGTCGCCACTTTTCCGCCCCGGTGTCACAATCTGGAGGCCTTGAATATTGGGACACCCAAAGGCATGAAAAACGGCCCCCCCAGCCTCATTCAGCATAAGGACAATCAGGTCCTGTGCTCGTATACATTACATGTACGCCTTGAAGAAGAGGTTCGGTCGATCCGTTAAAGAAATACGAGTTATAGCGGTATCTAGACCTTGGTCTTTCCTCTGAAAACAAGCCATGGCTCCTGGATAGGCATTCGCGAGATACGTCTGTGGTATTGCTACCGTGCCCTTAAAGTCTTAGTTTAAAAATATCTCTAATAGAATAAACAATCTCCACACTCTTCATCATAAAAGAAATCATGGTCTATCACCTTAAGCGCGCTAAGGGAGCAGAGAAGCCACAATTCCTACAGGGCTACACATTGTTAAGCGGACCAAGGTTAAAGACGCGCAAGGTTGCCGAGACTTCTATAGTGGATAAAGTAATTACCGGCAATATCAAAGCGCTTTTACTGGTCAATATCCCTGTAGATGGCATCGTCGATCCCTTGGCGCACTCAAAGGGATGGAACATCATGACGAGCGAGCAGAGGCACCTCCGCTTGAAGACCAAGTTGAAAAACGGCCCTCTGAAATGTACACAAGAGCAAAAGCTTCTGGAGGAAATAAAAGTTCATTTAATAACCTAGACTAAAAAAGGAAAAGACAATCGTTAAGCTAGCATCTCACTAGGCTTTGTCGCTCATCCTATGTTTAAGGGGTCTGCTAAGAAACCTAATAGAAATCGTATCTTGTCGCGTCCATTCCAACCTACTAAAGTAGCAAGTGGTCAACACACTTTGTAGTGAGACTGTCCACTGCACCCTAGACAAGGAAACACTATCAGAATTGAGCATGAATTTCTCAGGTCTCGGATATATCTACAGGGACGTCAGCCCAGCAGGACGAGCCAACTCTCTCACAAAGGGCTTTTGGCGGTAGCCCGATGTCTCGCAGCTGGTAGTACTGCATGCCGAGTGTCTCGACAAGAAGGGGTTCACTCGTCTGGCCTTTTGGGGTTGTTCAAGATTTGGATTCACTGCTTCGTACGCTCTTCGATCCGTTCTACGTAGCATAGAAGCACTACGCATCTACGCGAGACTACAGACGAGCTAATGGCACTCGGCAAGGCCAACCAGAGTCTCTGCCGCATCATCTGAGACTGTCTCGAAGCGAAACAACACTACTCTCGGCTCACGGGGCGGAAGGGCAGGCTGTTGCTTCTTAGATCTAAGACTAGGTATCTCGATGCAAGTTAGTGTGAGAGCGTCGGGACTCGGGTGAGTCTTGAGACCTTTGTCCTTATCAATTAGCATTGCATCTGCTTCTATCGGGGCATTCAAGCCCTTACCTGGCCAACTCTATATCTGGCCGACTTGATAGGTTGATTATGGCATTGACGAGCATCTTTCTTTGTATCGGCACTTGTGGGAAGTTCGTATTCGTACTGGTTAAAAGCAAATGACAGGCAGGGGCATATCTCACGGGCTGCACAAGGTCGGTTAACAAGGACACATGTAGATTTTGCGTCGATATTGATACGCATGAACGATTGAGGAATTCGTTTGGATGTCTGGCCATGCCTGTGTGCACGAGCTGCACGACGACGGAGGACAGAGGACCTCAAGGCACAGCTTATAGCATTCAACGGTTATTCTTCCCAATGCCCCTTGGCGATGAGTTCTTCCAATCTGACGGGCGTTGCTGGTGTCTGTTCTACAGTGCTGTAGGCAGGGAACTTCCGTACCTTGGTCCATACCGACGGAACACTCTCTCTCCTCCCCTTCCCCTTTTCCTCGATCGAGACACAAACGGCCCTCTTGAAAAATCTAACAGAGCTCGCCTCCTATTCATCTACAGCTCCGATGTAGGTAGTGCTCCTATTTCGTATCAGAACTCAATCCAGCCATGTTGCCTACTCCAACGTCGGTTTCCAAGAGCATCCGTCTGATGGCCGGCAATAAGCTAGGTAGCAGTGAGCCTCCTATAGAGTCGTCCCTGATTTAATCGTATCTGCTGTAGTTGCTCCAAGTCTCGCAAAGAGGCATGAAATAACGATTAAGCGAGACCGGCCAGAAAAACACTGGAATCAAGGGTCCCTATACTCCTGGAGACCTGATTAACAACGTAGCTAGCCAGGCAATAAAACGGATAGAAAACAGGATCAATTTACATTGTACTACTCATCCTA